TATATTAACTTTGGATGGGATCAAATCCAAGTGGGATTATTTGAGAAAGTGTGATGGATTTTTAGTTGTTATTGAAGTGACCAAAGTCATTTGATTTCTCTATACTCAAGGGTACCTTTTTTGGATCCCCACCAAAAGAAAGAACAACTTCAAATGCTAGATCTTGGCTAGATTTTCTTGCTTCTACTGCATTAAAGCCGCAGGATTTGTAGCCAGAGACGTTGAAAAAGGAAGGATGCACAATGAAGGAGGTTGGGTTAAATTTTGGTCTAATTTCTTCAGGATCTTGAGTGATTTTAGATCTTGGTGGACCAATATATATTGAAGTACTTACTGTTTTTACTTCTAAAAAAAAAGTACTGTTTTTACTTTTCAAAATGTTTCTAAGCTAACAGGGTTGAATTTTGATGGATTCCATAAAATTTTAAATTCATTTTACTGATTTAATCTCATAATATTTTAATTTTGGTTAAAGTACTATTTGGTTTCTGTACTTTTAGTATTTGGTTTCTGTACTTTTAGTTTTGTTTTTTAAATGTTTATTTTGGTCAATGTATTTTCAACTTTGGTTCATTTTAGTTCAAAAATATTCGTTTTGATATCTGTACTTTTAACACAAAATTTTTTAGTGTAGTCTCGTGTTTAAATTGTAATTAAAAAAATTAGACTAAATATAGAATTAAGAGACGAAAATGGTTACTTTTTAAAAGTGGAGTGACAACAAACAAATATTATGAGAGTACTAGAATAATATTTTAACATTTAATTTTCTTTTAATAATTTAGATCTTCCTCGTTCCAAACTAATTGAAACTTTAAAATGATTTCAAAATGTGTGATTTAAAATCACTTATTATATTGTACAAAAAATATTATTTGTTAATTTTTTTAATTCCAAACGAAGTGTAAAATATAATATCCTTAATTTATCAAAATAAAATAAAGCTTTAGAAGCAATTGGATCGTGTGAAAACTTCCTATATAGTTCAAATTGAAAGATAAATATGTTGATAATTAATTATAATTGTGGTTATACAGAAATTTTTTGTAATTATAATTTTTTTTATTGGGACATAGAGTTGGAGAATGAGAATTTGAACGCAGGAGGTAAGACTTGGTTTCATAATGTTCGGAATCTGTTTTAAAAAATAGTTTTTAGTTTTTTAAAGCAAATATTCAATTAAAAAACATGTTCAACTTCTTATCATTTAATTTGTTATTTTATGAATGATTTTTTTTCTTTTCTTTCATTAAATTTTATTATCTTCGCAAGAATGATATCTTTCGAAAATATTGTATTCAAAATTTTGAAGTTTCTCAATAATAAAAAGCAAATGATTCCAAACAATTTAACTCAGTGAGACGATTAACAAATAATTCAATATGTTTTATAAACATATATATGTGTGTCTTCCATCACATCTCTAATTAATGTATTTGTAGAAAAAATTATTCTCGTAAAATAAAAACACCCACGTGAATCACCTCAAAAATGTTTTCCCCTAAAGACATTGATTCATTAATTGGAATTTTTTAGCCTATAACTTTTTTGTTACAAGTCGCAAATCAATAAACGGAAGATAAATTGTATCATTTCCACACTTTAAAATTTACGATTCGACGTCGTTTTGGTGTTGAGATTATAAGTCAAAGGAATTGGAAATGTGATGATCTTCCCCACCATCCAGACCGTTGGATCGGCCTTGAATTCCAGATCGCAGCTTCCCAACCAATGGTCAGCAAATGTTGCCTTCTCGTGGGTCCCAGTCAACCAGATCCCTGATCCAACGGTCCTGATTGCGCCGCTGTTCACATTGCAGCCGTTGATTATGTAAACGTAATCTAGATTGGCGTAAACTTAATTAGAATGATTTTATCTTGATGTATAAATCAAATCATCCCAAAAATGGAAGCAATCACATCACAATTATTTAACCCTGGTAAAGCGGTAAAATAATGGAATAAAAATATACAAGACGCAGTTACTTCATTTAAATAGAGCACGACGATAGCGTGTGGGCCCAGTTCCCACGTGTTGAGAATGATACGTCATCATATTATTTTGTGTGACGTGTCGGTCGTGGAGTGGTTGAGAGGATAAAACTTCGTCAAATTAAAAGTAGTCGTGGAACATGGCCAAAGCTGACAAAGAAAGTCAGATGATCCACACGCGTATGAGCATCCTACGGAATCACGGATGCCCCCAAAATTTTATTTATTTATTAATTATTATTTTTTTAATATTAAGTTCCACGAATAAAAATAAGGTCCATCTAATTATCAATATTTGAAATGGTAATTAGCACTTTAAATCGAGCGGCCCATTTTTCGTATAATTATATTATTTGATTTATAAATTTCAGCAAGTGTTAGTTACGTTATAATATAATGGTATTTATATGTTATGCTTGTCGAATTATTCATCAAATTATATAAACTAACAAAATTTAATGGGCATGTCACATTGTTTAGACAGGGATTCAAACTCCAGCCTCTAGAGAATGAGCTAGCATTTAACTGTTGAGGTATACTTATATTGACCATTTTTCCTTATTATAATGATTTTAGTCCCTTTTTAAGTGTCGGTCTAGATTCTGATTTGGTTAAGACGAAAACAATTTTATATTATTGACAATACGTGACTTCTCTAGATTTTCATGCAACATATCATTACTCTTGTATAAGAAATCTTAATTCTCAATCATTTGTAGCCCAACAAATTTTACACGGTTTAAAATGTAAGCAAGTCAATTATTTTTAGATTGTCTAGATACTCCATGCATTCATTACTTACCTATGTTTGTGTCTATAATCTTGATAAGCAATTAGCTACTTGAACATAAACATTAATTCCTTAGTATTTTTTTCTCCTTCCAAGTTTAATTGTGCATTTAAAAAAAACAAAGTCGTATAATGAGCAAGATCTAAAACAAATCTCAAACATCAAGTAGACAGTGATTTAAATACTTCTCTCTCCCATAAACTAAGTTTTAGATAATTTATCTAGGTTGTCTTTTACAAACAAATAATTTATTTCAAATGTATACAATTTATTATTTTTTAAAACATACAAAGAATAACAAGAAAATCATCACATGAATCATATAATAGCACATGATGAAAGATGAAGAAATTAATTAATGTTGGAAGTGAAGCCCATAAAGTGTAGAAAAAAGTGCATATTGGGATGAGAGGAAACCCAAAGATCCTTACAAAAGCCATCACTACCCCACCAAAGCCAATGGTCAAGGGATTCAACCATGTACTACACCTCTGTTTTATTTGCACATGTAAAAATGTTTCCTCTTTTTTTTTTTTTTTTTTGAAAAAAAAAATGTAAAAATTTTATTGGAGGCTTCAATTATTTCAACTTTAATTAGCTGTGACAACACACAAACTTGGAAAAAAAAATTAATATAAAACAATAGGGTTTGGAAAACGTGACTCGTGGGTTTGATTTTAGATTTGGATTTTAATAAAATTAGGTTAAATTATAAATTTGGTACTTTAGTTAAAAGGTTTATAAATTTGATGGCTATTTTGTTTTTACAAATTGAACTTATAAATATTACTTTTATTATATAGTTTTTATAAACATTGTCAAAATCTATGCTAAATTTTAAGGGAAAAGTAGTGTTCGCTTTTCTTTTTCTAAAATTGACTAAGAATTCAAATATCATTTCAAGGTGAAAAACTTACCAATGAAATGGTACAAAAACAAGTATATTTTTTTAAACAAAAAATAAAAAACGAAAAGATTATCAAACAACACCTAAACTTTAAATATTAAATCTAATAGGTCACTGAATTTTCAGCTTTTTGTCTTACATACTCAACTTTTGAGATATTTTTTGTTTAATTTTAGAGACTCATTTGACATGAAATTAAAAATTTAAAGATTTATTATATATATTAATATTTAGGAACTTATTACACAAAGTATTAAAAGGTTAAGGATTTGAGAGAATTTTTAAACTCCAAGACAACCTTGTTAATGTTAGTATGAACTAATAATTTAAATTTAAACTAGAATCGTTCAGTTAAATTAGCATCTTTTGAACATTTGCTTTAAAATGACACTGCGTTTCTAATTTTTCAATATTTTATTTCGAGTTTCCGAAAATTAAAATTACTAAAAAATTACAGTTGTATTAATAAATCTTAATGTAGGAGGTTGGGAACTTGGTATTGACTTTAGCACAGGCCATCCGTAAATAAATGGCGTATCCAATTATTTTGAGATTATCATTATTATCTGTTTCTGAAAGACAATTATTTTCAGATTATTTTATTAGTGACGTTATATTTGACAAATAAATATTTTTTATTTTTAAATAAGTTAAAAATTATCAATTAATATTATATAAATATTAGTGACATTTTGTAGATAATTTACTGACATTGAACTCATGAATATGTAAAAATGTCGAAATGTCGACGGGTATTTAATACCATAGTTAAAATATCTATCTAATTTACACATCACATGTTATTTAATTAGAAAATAGTGCAATATTAACAGAATAAAAATAAAAATAAAAATGTCTAAGTATTTATAAATGAATTTTAACTAAACAAGAAAAAGTATTAATGAATTAAAGTCTAAACTATAGAATATAAACTATATTTTTTTTTTATCATCTCTTTGTTGCTATCAAAAAGAAAAATGAAAACCTTCACTGGGAGTGAAATTTAATAAACATAAAAATTAAACGATCTATTAAATATACTTTTTATATTAAAAAAGGAAATAAAAAATTAAATATACTTAATTTAATAGAGGTTAATGCGGCTTGTCCTAATATATAGGACGAAAAAGTTACCGTCGACTCGGGAATGACCATGGTAAAATATTTTTTAAATTTACAGTATCACAATAATAACCTATTAAATTGATTAAATAGATGTTAATGCGGCTTGTCCTAATATTAGTTGTAAGTTGTACTCTTATTATTCTTATTCTTGTTGGCATAAATGATTTATCTAAAATTGGAATATGACAAAATGCATTGAATGGTTCACTAAATATCTGTAAGGAGAGAGAATATGCTTTTTTTTTTTTTTTTGAGAAATAGAGGGAGAATATGTTTTAACTGATAGAAAGATTTAAGGGAAAAAAATTTCTGCTAATTTACAATGAATATCGAGAAGATAAAATAATAATAAAAAAAAAGTAAAAAAGTTAAGGAGAGAGAGTTCTAGGTAGGAAATGGTTCCCTCTACTCAATTTCAAAAGTAGAGAACCGTTAAAATTAGAATACCGGATTAATCATCTCAATTACCGAAATACCCTCTCTCTTTGTACAGTGACAAGTCCGGGAATTACATTATTACAAATCTACCCCTCCCTTGAGATAATAATATAAAAGCGGACAATAATTAAATATTGGTTTAAATTATATTTTGATTTTATTTGTTATTAAATTCTAGATTTTCTTTTTTTGCTACTAAGACATCTAAATACCATTTTAGAGATTCACTTCCATTCCTACCTCAAACTACAAAAAATAATCTTCACATTTTCTCATTGAAAATTTGAAATATTTATTGTATCGGTTGAAATTTTAAAAAATAATTATTTTAATTATTGGAATTTCAAAAAAATATATTTAAAGTCATAATTTTTTTAAATAACCATTTGGGTTCCTGCATTACATAATATTTACTGACCCAATACGTACTTCCAAATTATAGTACTTGTTGACAGTGAGTTTTAGCAACGTCCAAATGTCCCTCGAAATGGAGTGTTATTGACAACAAATGAGTATGCAATGATGACATCTGTATAACATCCCACTTAAAATACTCTGATACTCAAGTTAGTAATCGAAGTAAGAGTAGTAGAGAACATCTTAAAAATTAGTGACAACTTTTTTCACTTACTTGATGGTAGTAGCAGTTTTCTAATTTTGTAGGTGCTCATGGCCGATCAGGGAAGACGCTCGTTTGATGCACAATGGCTTGCCTGATCATATGAGAGTTTGATAGGCAGGTGAGGACATTCCTGCCACGTGGAAGTAGCTCTGCCATTGGTCAGACCGTCCTTACTGCAGGCGAAGTGGGGGTGACTCCTCCGTATACGCGCTCTTAACCCGTTTGTGGTCTTCTATCTAAACGTCGCTTCTCAAAACCTGACACGTCACCTGCTCAGATTTCTCCTGTCAATACTCAAAGTATATCATCAAATTGTTTAAGAAAAATAAAAACTAGTTACTTTTAAAATTTAAGAATTAAAATAGAAAATTTGACGGGACGAAAATGAGATTTAAAATTGAAGCCTAAATAAAGTGAAGGAAAGATGGAGATTATGGTAATTTGAGGCGAGGAGGAGTGAGGAGTCAGCCCCGTTTCTGTAAATAAAGAAAAATAGAGTCTTTATGTTTGGAGTTTAAAGTTTAAAGTTTTGATTTCCAAAATTGCAAACAAAAGAAAACATTGTCCGAAGCACAGTCCTCTCTCCAGTTCACATCTCTGCCTCTCTCTACTGTATCTCTTAGACGGAAAGAGAGTGTAGAGAGAGAGAGAGAGAGAGAGAGAGAGAGAGAGAGCTACGTTCGTTGAGAATCGAGACGAGTAAAGCAAGGACCATCTTCTCATTGTTAGGGTTTTCTTAAAACCTAGAAATAATCTTGCAAAACCGTCGAGGAATTTCCCTCAGAGGCTACGGAGACCTGGAGAAAGCAAGGAATATCGGAAAACACCAGCAACTGGAATGCTGCTAATCATCTGGGCTTCGCCTCGAATCGGAGGATCCGATTGCGTTATCTGAGATCTTGGATGTGGACTTCACAGGTATGCTTCTCAAATACACGATCGGTCGCGCATTTCGGCTTCTGCTTTTTGGTCTTTCTACATCGCCAGCTTCTGTCGCTTTTCTGCATTGGTTTTTTTGGACTGATTTTATGCTTACCTGGGATTATTGGTTGTATTGGAATAGTTTGTCAAAATTTTTTTTTGTTCGGTCGGGCATTTGAATTTGGTTTCGTGGGATTGAATTCTGTAATGGGTCTGCTTCCGTTTGGCTATCTGTTTTTTTTTTTTTTTTAATTGTCGAATCAGATCTAAACTTATCTACCTTCTTTTTATGAAGCATGGCTTTCTATTTTTGGGGAGAGGAGGGGGGCGCGTGAATTTTTTAAGCATTTGGTTTTCTAAAGGGTTTGAGGAGTGAGATCTGTGATGGATGTTGGGTAGGTATTTAGCAGCGAAGCTTGAGGTTTTTTTCTGCTAGGCTTCTTCTATGGAATGATATCTTCTTAGATAATCTTATTTTTACTCAAAATGTTGACTACTGAAATCCAGATTATTAATTTCCGGATTTAATTATTTTTTCTTACTATGTAACTGTTGCAACCTTTTCTACCATCTCAATTCTGGGTTTTAAATAGTTCATTTAAATTTAATCTAGCTGAAATGGTTGAATTTATGATTTAAATACTTTCTAAAGTTGTTTTTTTTTGTTTGTTCTCAACCTGCATTATAGCAGCGATGCGTCTTGCCATATTTCTTCAAAATTCTACAGTCACACCGAACATTATCAGGGGCTAGAATATTTCTTGCCAGGAAGTAAGTTGGGTTTCATGAAGTGCTCTGGGAAAAGATAAATTGAAACTTGAAGTTTCTGTGAAGTGAAAGGGAAATGAAACCTGACACGCCTCTGGATTTCGCTTTATTTCAACTGTCACCTAGGCGTTCACGGTGCGGATGGCATACCTTGGTTGTTTACATTTCATACTATAATCTTCTATTTACTAATTTTATTTGTTCTCTTCTCTCCCCTTTGGACAGTTGTGAATTGTTTGTTTCTAGTCATGGCAACTCTGAGAAACTTGCATCAGGTTCAGTGAAGCCATTTGTAACTCAATTAAAGGTTGCGGAAGAGCAGTTTGCTCATGCAGTTCAGGCAATTAAGCTTGAAGTTGAGAGGGGTGGAAATGCTGATGCATGGTTCACGAAAGGAACCGTTGAAAGGTTACAATTTTTCATATTGGGCTTTTACGAATCAGGATATTTTATGCCAACTGGCCAGGCTCTCTTGAATTTTCTTGTTGACGTGGTTGGAATATTTCCAGGTTTGTGCGTTTTGTTAGCACACCCGAGATATTGGAGCTGGTCAATACGTTTGATGCAGAGACGTCTCAATTGGAAGCAGCCAGAAGAATATATTCCCAGGTAAGTGATGCTATTAGTCAGTGCTATTTAAGATGAATACAGTTTTTGTTTTTGTTTTTTGTTTTGCTAAATCATTTATTGTTTTGCATTAGGGAGAAGGAGAACAGAATTCTGGTGCATCGGGTATGTTAAATTTCCCTTTATTTGCCTATGAATTTTCAACTTCAGTCATTTTTGTTTATCTGCAAGAACACATAATGCATTTGGATGTTGTAAAATTTAGTTCTTTGTACCCAAGTTCATTACTTCGATAATTCTTTGTGACTTCTTAAGTTCCAAATTGATTTATTATCTAGAGATTTTACATTAATCGACTGGTAAAACATGTAAGCAGCAATGTAAAGATGTAAGTGGAATTTGTACATGGGAGAGGGATGATCTGGTTTCATGTTCTTGTTTGTTGGAAAATCCTATAGTGCTATAACATTTTCAGATTCTTGAATCAGGGCATTAGGTTTTATGAGAAGAATTCAATAAATGCTTGTGAATTGTTTCATATGAAAGGATAGTTCCTGTAGTTTTATTTTGAAGATTAAATTGATATTCTGCTACCAACGATGTTTTTTTTTTTTTTTTTTGATAATTTACCTTAGGTGGAGATGGAACAGGAACAGGCTCAACTGACGAAACCAAGTATTTCTTTTCTTCTCAATCTTTTTGTCTTTTTATCTTAATTTTCTTCATGTATTTGTCAAGTTATTGGAAAAAGCTATAATTAGTGTTAATAGGGATATGTTTGAAGTCGTAAAAGTTCTTCTCCTCTCTCAGATATCTATTGTATCCATACTTTGGTTTCATGCTGAACTTTCAAATGAGGGTGAGATCTATGTAGTTCCCCTATGAAAGAAATTGATTGGTATGTTTTATTTGGGATGACAGAGACAGTATTTGATGTTGTGACTCAGTTAATGGGACAGAGTGCCTGTGTATATGATAAGGTTGAGGTAGTTAATGCATTAACTGGGTTGGTGTTATGAGATCTTTTAATGTGATTTACAGTGCGTTAATTATAACCGAGGTTGCAAATATCCGATAGTTCTAAGTTTCTGAATCTGAATGTATATGTTTGTGTAGGTAGGTTTCTCGTTTTTGATGTATTTCTTCATAATTTTCAGGAAGGAGCTTTTAAAAGCTATCGATGTACGACTAATTGCAGTTAGGCAGGACTTGGTCACAGCTTCTGCTCGTGCATCAGCTGCTGGTTTTAATCCTAACACAGTGTCTGACCTTCAAATTTTTGCTGATCGGTTTGGTGCCCATCGCCTAGCGTGAGTACTCTATAAACAAATTTTATGTTTGACTTATGTGTGTTAGTACTACTAAGACCATATATTTAGATCTCGATCTTTCTGCCTGGTGCTTGTTTGCAATTAGTGTACATTGATGGCATCAAGTTGAACCACATATTTTGCAGTAATCTAGGTTTGTGTTTCAACTGCTTTTGAGGGTAAGGAAAGGACTTTCTAAGTTTCTCCTCCATGTTGGAATGTCAAACACGAGGAACGTGTAGAGGAAAATGCAGACTCTAGTCTTTGTTCTGGCACTTTGATGGATTTTTTACTTCCCACCATACATCTTCGGGAGAGACTTCATTTTCCTTACTATTTCAGGGATTTGTGTTTTGATCTTGATTTGGTGATAGGGAAGTTGGTTAACATCTTGTAGCGAGAGACTGCAATGTCACTTTAAAGAATTTGTGTTGTACTTGGGTTCTCTCCTTAATTTAATGATAGGGAAGTTGGTTAAGGCTAATAAACCCTGAGGACAAAAACAAAGGGATAGTGACAAAAAGCCCTACTTGCAGAAATGAAAAGAGAGTCGTTGAAGCATTTGGCACTTTAAACCTCCTCACTCTATTTCGTGAAAGTTTTCTTATTTTAACTTTACCTGCCACAAACGATTCTTTCTTCCTCAAAATAGGGGATGCAAGAGAACCCTTGTCATCATGGCCAGTAGTCTGTATTAAGGAATAGGAACTCACAACATGCCAAAAGATTGCAAATTATTGAACCAGAGATTCCCTGCAAAAGTACATCTCCAAGGGATATGATTCAAGTCCTCTGGTTACTATTTGAAAGGAACCCACCAACAGCGGCATATCACCAAAGAGGACTTTTGAGTTCAACATTGTTAAATCGTTCAGTAAAGCCAAGATAAAAATTTGACATTCTAGATGTTGATCTACGGACCTTGGTTGGGGGGTTGATGATTTGGCTTCTCCTCTTGCCATTATACAGGTTGTCTAATGGGATGCCCTAATACCTTACAAACTTTCGCTTTAGCCAATGATCCAAGCAGTGGCTATAAATGGACACCTTTTGCAAAGACCAGACTAAATAGACAAAAAATGAAAAAAGTGAAGAAAGGATGCATTTTCAAATCTTATGGTCCTAGAACTGAATGCAATCTTATCCTCGATAGCATAGTTAACGGAGTTGAAGAAATGAGGCAAAGCCATAAGATAGTTCACGCGCTGCAGATTTCGGAGAGTGTCATTTATAACTACTATAGTATTTCAACTATTAGGGCGAATACTATATTTGCTCACAACCTTATGATACAAAAGGTAAAGTTCCAAAGGAAAACGCCATTACCACTTCGCAAAGAGTGCTTCATTTTTCAAAGTTGAATTCCCAATCTCCAAATATCCGCTCCCCACACCAAAGATCTAATGCGATCCCTTAACCTTTAACCTCTCCCATCCCCTATTTGCACAAAAGGCTCCCTTGTCAACATCTCCAACCTGGTAGAACTAGAATTTGAGATTTTAAAAATGGATTGGAAGTATAGAGTAATGCCACTTCAAATTGACTGAATCAATTCACCCACTTTTAAGTAAGGAATACATTTTCTTTTTCATATGTTTCTATACCTTCTTAGTGACGAGATCTTGGAATGAAAGAGATGTACGATTCAGCTGGAGACTCAAATACAAGAAACACAAGGAAATCTCACCACCTGCAGGTTTATACCTATGTTTCTGTTAAGTTAAGAGAATTTACAATTTACTCCACTACTAAAAAGCTGTGTATATTTCAAGTCCCAAGTCCCAAACAAGTCCCTACATGGATTCGGAAAAACTCAAATTACAGTGTTCAACTAACTTGCACAAGAAAGAAAAAGGAATAAAAAAAGTGTCATATGTGAAAGGTTGGTTTTCTGAATCTTACCAATGGCCAATACGTTGGCATGATGAATGGGACAGATTGAGATTGAACTTATTGCTTGGTGTTATTAGCATTTCTCGCCTTGCATGATGTTCTGGCCAGTACCTTCACTGTGGTGCTTGCCTTTGTCGCCATTGTTGTAACTCTCGCCACCAACTACATTGCCTTAATCCTTTAAGTTGACTACAATTCAGATTTTTCTTTTTCAGTTTTATTTTTTCTTCCTTCTCAATCCTTCCATTGGATCGATCATTTCTCTCTCATCAGCTTTTTACTTTTTTTTTTTTAATCTGAGCAGTTTCGTGGTGTTCAAAGTTCAACTCTAATTCACAAGTTAAAAGAACTGAAGGAGAAATCATCTTAGTTGCTGATGTTTCATTCTTTTCCCTTCTCGTTAATGTCTAAGTATTTGTTTAAAACTATTGAACTATGAATGTGATAAACTTTTTTTGTCTCTTTTTTGTATGCTACTACACCGCTCATATGATCTTAGCTCAATTCTAAATGACATCTACTCCTCAAACCTCCATACTCTTTATCTACTTATTTATGTTTACCTCACACCTCTCGTCTTAAGGTGGCTGAGAAATCTATCCTCTAAGCATGCTTCTTACACCCGAAAAACAACTGCATTGATTTATAATTTTTTTTGTGGAACTGTGGCACCAAAAATAAGAACTTGTTCTTTGTTGAGTTTGATCTACGTGGGTAAAGATTTGAACCTTTTAACTTTTTAATCGAAAATGTTGTTGAGTTTGATCTATGTGGGTAAAGATTTGAACCTTTTAATTTTTTAGTCGAAAATGTATCTTAACCAGCTGAATTATGTTCATGTTGGCTTGTTCATTTTCTTTACTAACTTAGATTAGGATGCAAATTATTATTTTGTCCCGATTGGGAAGAAACATGGATAGAAACAGATAGGAATGGAGAAAGAGTGACAAAGATGTGATTAGTAAGCAATCATGGATAGAAACAGAGAGGAACGGAGAAAGAGTGACAAAGATGTGATTAGTAATACCAGTTATAGCAGGTATATTAGAGGAAAATTTATAGCATTGTGATAGTATAGAAATATTTTCATTCTATCTTAGCAACATTTAAAGATATAGTATAGAGTCGATGAAATAAACTTATATATTCCTTAATCATGTGTAAAATTTAAAATAGTTGTGATACGGTGATACTGATACAAAATTTTCCGTCAATTTCACAGTTATTTAAAGCAGGGTTTCAATTTTTTTTCGCAGCGAAGCGTGCTCTAGTTTCATCTCGCTTCACCGGAGAAGGCCGGAACTGATCAACACGTGGGCGCCAGGTGTCGATGACAGAGCCGTTAGATCTTCATGCGGGTCGGACATGTCCATCGATGACCCCACCGAAGACCCTGCTGGGACCCACATGAAACCGCAGTACCACAAGCACGACCCACAATCTGGTACAACTTCACGAACTGAAGAACAACATTCCAACGTGGACCAAACAAGATCGTCCACGTGTCAACTGGCCAAATCGGCCGCCACCTTTCCGAGCCGACGCGTCGTAAACTCGAAAGACGACACTAAGGTGGAGACGTCACCCGAAACCTTGGAGAAAGAGGAGACTCCTACTCCGACGGAGTCCTCGTCAGCAACTCCTGTGGGCCCCCCGGCGAGGCGGCTCAGCGTTCAGGATCGTATTAACCTTTTTGAGAACAAACAGAAGGAAAATACCGGTGGCAGTGGTGGAGGGAAGCCCGTTTCTGGAAAGCCTCTGGAACTGAGAAGGCTCTCGTCGGACGTTTCGTCGGCGCCGTCGGTGGTGGAGAAGGCGSTTTTGAGGAGATGGAGCGGTGTCAGTGATATGAGCATTGATTTCAGCAATGAAAAGAAGGAAGTAGAGAGTCCATTGTGTACGCCTTCTTCATCTTCAATTTCTGATACCAAGTCTGGTATTTTTTCTTTAGCGCCCGAAAATCAAAGTGAGAAGAGCTTGCCCGATTTGGAGAGTAAGGCTAGGCTTGAAGAAAGGGGCAATCTTGTTAGACCTGGGGATGATGAGCCCAAACAACAAGATGAGGATCAGAATTCGATTGAGGTTTCTTCAGGTAAGGAGGGTGGCGCGTCAAAGGTACAGAACGATTGGAATGACCAATCGACTTCTCAGGCCCAAATCAGGTCGTTCTCTGATGGAGCAGACCCAGTTGGACTGAATGATCGAGGAATTTCTCAGGGAAGTATAAAGAATTTGTCAAGCAGCGATGAAAAAGGTCAGGGGTTCAAAGGTACGTTGGGCTCTGAGCCACAGGCGAGAAGTTTTGTAGATCCAGCTGAAATTGATGGAGTCAAGAATCAGTTTTCGTCTCAGGTTGATGCTTTTGCAAAGAAGGCAGGGGATGAGGCATCTGATGGTAGATTAGGGAATAAGATGGACGATTCTGGACCAAGAGATTATTCAGCATATCCATTACGTTCTAAGGGTTCTCGAAGTCATTCTCGTTCTTTTTCCAATCAATTTGAATGTGGTGGACTAAAAGTGGAATCCTCATCAACTCAGTCCATGGAAGTTGATGGCGGCAGATTACCCCAGCAGCGGAGATCTCTCAAAGCAGAACCCGAGGCAGTGTTTAGCAAGAACCTTGCATCATCAGATACGCATCATCTTAAAGTAGATGATTTTGGAGCTCAGAAAATGAAACTGCAGAAACCTGATTCTGCTGGCCGCAAACAACTGGAGAAGTCACAAGTTGGCAGAGAAGAAACCAGTTTTGTTCATGAGAGAAGTAAATTGGACATGATTGGGAAAAATGTTACAGAAGGCCAAGAAAGCACCCCTGCGATCTCAAGCATACCAGGAGTTCAAAGAGCAAGGCAGACCAAGGGGAATCAGGAGCTCAATGATGAACTAAAAATGAAGGCCAATGAGCTTGAAAGGCTTTTTGCAGAGCACAAGCTCCGTGTTCCAGGGGAGCACTCCAGCTCTGCAAGGAGAAACAATACTTCCGACGGGCAGTTAGAATCAGCAATTAGTTCGCAGCACAGAACACCTTCAGCTTTGGAAACTGCTCCTGCACAAGTGGTGGAAAGATCTGCGGTAAAAGAATCAATGGGGAGTTCCAGTAAAATGGAAAGTGTTTACAAAACGCCATCGAAAATGATAAATAACCATGACTTCGGCGATGATTCTAGAGGAAAATTTTATAACAAGTATATGCAGAAAAGAGATGCTAAGCTGAGGGAAGAATGGGTTTCCAAAAGGGCAGAGAAGGAAKCCAAGATGAAGGCCATGCAAGATAGCCTTGAGAAAAGTAAAGCTGAGATGAAAGCAAAATTTTCTGGTTTCGTTGACAGACAAGATTCAGTAGCCAGTGCTCGGAGGCGTGCAGAGAAACTCAGATCATTCAACTATCGCTCTCAAACAAGGGATCAGGTATTTTTGCGTAGTTTAATTTTTATTTTGGGATGGTAATGGTGCTGAGGTCCTGGGGTCTTTCTATCTCTGAATTTTATTTTTTGTTTCTTATCTCAATTCTCACCCGTATTTTTTGTTCTCATTTCCTTTTTTGTGACAAATGATGTTAAATCTTTCTGCACATCAGCCACTGATCAATTCAATTCAAAGTGAGGATGATGGGGACTTTTCTGAGGTTTTGGAGCAGAAATTTAATGGGAACGATAGATTGCACAGTGATTCATATATATCGGATAGTGCTTCCAGAAGCAACCAGAACAAGAAGGCTTTGCCAAGTAGAAATTTATCTTCTACACCTCGTCCCACTGGGGTTTCAGCTCCGCCACGGTCGCTTGCCAAAGTTTCCCATTCCAGTTCTGGGAGGCGAAGAGGACAAACAGAAAATCTTCTTGCACAGTCAGTTCCTAATTTCTCTGAACTGAGGAAAGAAAATACAAAACCTTCTGGAGTTGGCAAAGCATCAGCGCGGCCCCTGGTGAGAAATTATTCTCGCAGTAAAACTAGCAATGAAGAGCCAATTATTAAGGATGAGAAGCCTCGTCGTGCACAGTCTTCAAGAAAGAATTCTGCTAGTGCTATTGAGTTCAAGGATATATCCCCTTTGAACACAGACAATGTTGTTTTAGCACCATTGTTTTTGGATGAAGAGCAGAACGAGGAGAGCATTTATGCTAAATATTTGAAGAGCATAGAATCAAAGCCTTTTCTGAGGAAGGGCAATGGTGTAGTCCCTGGTGCTGGAACAAGTATAGCCAAGTTGAAAGCTTCCATGGAATCTGAGACTTCAAGAGAGGAAGAGGAATTTGATGAAGCCTTTGATGGTTCAGAAATTATGGCCAAACAAGAAGAGGAAGAGGAGGAAGAGCATGGGAAAATGGAAATTAAACTTGCTCATATGGATAATGGAAAGCTAAGATTAAGCCAGGAATCAGGCGGATCAAGTAATTCTGGGTCTGAAATTGAAAATTCTTTGAGATCTCACTCTCATTCTCAGGTGGATCATTCTACAGTTTCTGAACCTCCCTCTATGTTGCCTTCATTTCATAAAGCAGGGTTACTCCAGGATTCACCGGGTGAGAGCCCTCTGTCATGGAACTCACGCATGCATCATCCATTCTCCTACCCACATGAGACCTCTGATATTGATGCATATATGGACTCTCCAATTGGGAGCCCTGCATCATGGAATTCGCATAATATAACACAAGCAGAAACTGATGTGGCTAGAATGAGAAAGAAATGGGGAAGTGCCCAGAAGCCTTCTCTTATTGCTACCTCATCAAGTCAGTCACGCAAGGATATGACCAAGGGGTTTAAAAGGTTGTTAAAGTTTGGAAGGAAAAGCCGTGGGACAGAGAGTAGTATGGTTGACTGGATCTCTGCTACAACATCTGAGGGAGATGATGATACCGAAGATGGTCGAGATCCTGCTAGCAGGTCATCAGAAGACTTGAGGAAGTCAAGAATGGGATTCTCACAGGGTCCTGATGATGGCTTTAATGAAAGCGAGTTGTTCTGTGAACAGGGTAACTTACATTTTCTGTATTGATTTGTTGACGTCGGCTTTTATTCTATTTGATTCTATTTGCATGGAACATCCATTGAAAATATGCTTATGTAGGAATTAAGTTAAAAGACTTTTTATGCTTTCATTTTCCTTGGGTTAGTGATTCCTACAGATTCTCCCCCTCCTTTTTTAGCACACGGATTATGATAATTAGAATCCACTTACCCATCTTTGTTTGCTCACCCTGCAGTTCAAGAATTACAAAGTTCGATTCCAGCACCACCGGCCAACTTCAAGCTAAGGGAGGATCACATGTCAGGAAGTTCCTTGAAAGGTGAGTGCTCGCTGGTGTCATGTACTATGTTTACTTGTCATATCTGATATCATTACTTTGCTTTGGTGATAACGAAGTTGTTCAAAAGGGGCAGTTGGAAAATGATTTTTTTTACTTGTTCCTTGATCCTCACATCTTGTGCTTCATGTTTATGAGAGTTTCGGTTTTCCTTTTCCTTAAAAGAAGAAAAAGAGAGTTTGGAGATGAACTGAATTTCTAATGTTGGAAATTTGAAATCTTACAGCTCCACGATCATTCTTCTCTCTCTCAACCTTCCGCAGCAAGGGAACTGATGCAAAGTCCAGGTAATAGAACACAGCAGATTTCCATGTGAGATCACTGTCTTGTTATCCTTGAGTAGGGTACAGCAGTTGGTACAGTGTAAGATACAAGTGCTTGAAGGTAATAGAGAATCAGACACGAGGTCTGCAATTCGATCATGTACATGTTATTCGATTCAGAAGACCGACCCGACCGCCTACGTCATTAGGTAGTTACACCTGTTAGTTGTGTTGAATTAATTAAGTATACTGTATTGAACGATGAGTTAATTGTTGGCAGAATGTCATTGTGATTTTGGTAGTCTTAGGAGCATTATTATTATTTTTTTCTTTGGTTCTGCTCTTCATTTGCTCTGAGGGTTTAGTTTTGTGTGCTCTGTATATCTGAAGGAGCTCATCAAGAACAGAATTGTTGAGTGTGATATAATTATGCATAATAAAAGCTTTTTGCACATCACTCTTTTCATTTTTAGTCAATTTTTTATTCAGAACTTCTTGTATCCCTGTTCCATGAGTATCTCTTACTGTGTTTCCATACCATTTTAAGTGACAGTTGGAATTGCAATTAAGACTTTGAAATAATTCCTTATTTCGTTACTGTTTTCATGCTAACCGTGGACGCTCTCAACATCGAGGAACAAGTACTAAGATATATGTGCAATTTGTTCAGACCACGCTAACCGTGGATGCCCTCGGCATCGAGGAACATGTACTAAGATATATGTGCAATTTGTTCAGACCATTGACCGTTTTTCCATATTCAAGAGATTGCATTTTGTTGTGATTTTGAGGTTGAGAAATGAAAGATTTGTTCTTATTTAACTGCGTCATTTCCTCCTACATTTCCACGAGTATCTTTTCAGAATTATTATTATTTTATCTTAATGATAACTTTAAACATTTAAGAAAGTTACTTGATTATTTTGTTACTTTTTTTTGGACAATAGTTACTTGATTACTTGAATTATGTTTTCTTCAAGCCTCTTGATGATGTATATCAGCTGAATTATATTTAGTTGGCAATAACGTTTACATATTTAGCATCAAGGTACATTAAATCACAATGCTGGTTTATGATGTCTATGTGCACGATTATACCTCAAATTTTAATTTTTTTTCTAAGGATATCATTTTTTAAAAGTAAAATAAGTTTAGATAAGATGTATAATGTAACTAAATTATGAGGATCAAATTAAAAATTTTTTAGGTAACAAATAAAAATTTGTAACTTATTCTATAAATAATTAATATTAATTAAAAAAAATATATCACGCATGACACGAGAGTGAAATTTTTTAAATATAATAATTTAGGAATATGGGAGATTGAACCGAATAAATTCAATTAGAAAATTGAAGTAAATTGGAGACTCAACCTCCGGCTTTGAAGGAATACATCCAGTAAATTGAAGTAAGAAATTGAGATGAAAAAGATAAAATGGTAATCATTTAAAAGTGAATTTCTTGTCGTATTGGGGCAGAGGAAATTTCTCAATCATCAACTTACGATAAAAAAATAAAAAAATAAAAAAAATAATTTTGAATCTCTCGCAGCTTTCTACAATCTCACAAATGGATTCCGAACTCCAGAAAAACTCAAACGAATGCCGCCATTTGCAATATTTTCCCAGCAGCTCGTGCCTTCGGACGGCCATTTGCCCACTCTCCATTTTCCAGAGAAAATGGCAAGAAGAAGAACGCCATTTCTCCATCTGCCGGCGCCGGCGACGGTCTGCAGTTTACGCACGTGGCCATGGCGTCGTTTTCTCAGTTTATACCCAATCTTCGACAGCTTTCCAAGAAGAACAGGACTCGACTCGAGAATCTCCTTAGTAAAATCCTCCCTCGCCTCCATTTTTTTAATCCGAGCTCTGAAAATACTGTTCTTCTAGAAATTGAAATACAGTTGGTTCAAGTTTAACGTTTACTCGTATTGGGATTCTCGCGCGGCGGAACCATCGAAGTTTTTGTGTACAAGGAAGAAACAAACGATGTTTTCCTCAAATTTGTTTTTCCCGCTTTTGCATCCATTCGTTTGTAACTTGTAACTTCAATTGACGGCCATGTCCGCCGCCCCCGGCCGCCGGCGCCACCACCCGACCCCCACGAGCTCGACGGACGTCTCCATCTCTATTACCCAGAATGATTCCTCCATAATTTCAAGAAAATCCACTCCCGGACGACGGCCCCGAAACCCTACTCCGGCTTCCCCTTTCGCTGCAGACGATGATAAATCATGGCAAGGCGAGCTCTCATGGCAGTTTGAGCCCACTGGATGGCGAGATTCTCGCAATTTTGGCGAAGCCCTAGGTCCTTGGGCCGCCTCCGTCGCCCCATCTTCTTTTTCCAGTAGCCGCGTCTTACGCCGCACCGCCAATGACTACTATCTTTCCCCCACCCGCCGCGTTCGCCGGAGTTTCCCGAGCCCGTACCGCGACGTTTCCGGTTCCGGCTATGCGCCGGCGGGAAGAGTGGAGCTGCAGAGTTTTGTGGGCAGAGAAACAGAGAATTCGTTGTTCGTCGGGGAAAGCTACATTCCCGGTGAAACCAGCAAAATCAGCCCCTCTTCACCGCGGTTTCCGCTGTGGGAAACCGACGATCGGGACCAAAAAGATGAAATTAAAACTCCTTTGGCTGAGAAAGATGAACTTGGCAAGAATTACCACGACATTTCAGAACATAGTGAGATGTATTCATCATATATTGATGAAAGTGTTTCAGATGATAGTGAGGATGAGGATGAAGTGGAGCCAGCGAAGGCAATTGGGCTTTTCAGTTTGTTTAAGTATTCAACTAAGTTGGATATAGTTCTTATAATCTTGGGCTGTTTTGGAGCTCTCATTAATGGCGGATCTCTTCCTTGGTATTCTTATCTCTTTGGGAATTTTGCAAACCAGATTGCTACAGAATCGTCTATAGCTGACAAGAGTCAAATGATGAGAGATGTTCAGAGGGTTTGTACCTAATAATTTTTGTACCTAATAATTTTTACTCCCTCCTTTATGATTTGGGATGAATTTTAAAAGAGTTCAAAAGTTCTTTCTAGTCTAGCTTTTTTCAAAAATTTCATATTGTATGATTGATTTAAAAAAAAGCATCATTAAAAAGTCACTTGTAAATTTGCAGATATGCCTATTCATGACTGGATTAGCAGCAACAGTGGTTGTTGGAGCATACATGGGTAAGAGGAAACTTGTAAAATAGAAAATTTCCATAAAAACATCAAGTTTGGAACTTGAAGGTGTAGTTTTTACAGAAATAACCTGTTGGAGACTGGTTGGGGATCGATCGGCTCAGCGGATCAGAACGAAGTATCTACGGGCAGTTCTACGACAGGATATCAGCTTTTTCGACACGAAAATTAGCACCGGCGACATCATGCACGGAATTTCCAGTGATGTGGCTCAAATCCAAGAAGTAATGGGGGAGAAGGTAAGATTGTTTGTCTGTACATTGTACTAGCTTCATTACATTGTTTCCAAGTCATATCATATCTTCAGACTAGAAATTCTGATTCTATCGATATTGCCTCTGAATAAATGCAGATGGCTCACTTCATTCACCATATATTCACCTTCATATGTGGGTATGTAGTAGGTTTTCTGAGGTCATGGAAAGTTTCTTTGGTTGTCTTCTCAGTGACCCCCCTGATGATGTTCTGTGGCATGGCTTATAAAGCCATTTATGTAGGCCTAACTTCAAAAGAAGAGGTACTTTGACTTTGACATGGCCTTCAACTGAACCATTCTTTAAATGTTTCTGTTTTCTTAAGCCCTTTGCTACGATTCCTTTGAAGGCTTCTTACAGGAAAGCTGGGGGAGTGGCAGAGCAGGCCATCAGTTCAATCAGAACTGTTTTTTCATTTGTTGCAGAAGATCATCTGGCTGCAAAATATGCTGAGCTTCTGGCAAACTCTGTTCCTTTTGGGAAGAGGATTGGGTTCTCAAAGGGTGCAGGAATGGGAGTTATTTATCTCGTCACTTACTCAACTTGGGCTTTGGCTTTCTGGTACGGAGCCATCTTGGTCACTCGGAAAGAGATCACCGGGGGCGACGCAATCGCATGTTTCTTCGGGGTGAACGTCGGAGGAAGGTAAAGTAGGTAGGATGAGGCAGCCATGGGTTACTAGAAATAGAAACTCCATTTTCTGCTTGACAAATGACGGGGATTATTGGGTTTTGACAGGGGATTGGCTCTATCACTTTCATATTTCGCTCAGTTTGCACAAGGAACTGTAGCAGCAGGCAGAGTTTTCAGTGTGATAGAGAGAGTTCCAGAGATTGATTCCTACAGCCCCACGGGAAGAAGACTCGGAAATGTTCGTGGAAGAATGGAGTTCAAAGGCGTGAGTTTCGCATACCCATCCCGGCCCGATTCGTTGATTCTGAAATCAGTGAATCTGGTGTTTCCATGTTCAAAGACAGTGGCTATAGTAGGTGCCAGTGGAGGTGGTAAATCCACCATATTTGCTCTCATTGAGAGGTTCTACGACCCCATTGAAGGTAATGGAATGAAGGTTGAAGTTGTTGGGTTTTGTTTGTTTAGTTGATTATTGGATGATGGATATGGTTTGGTTTTGCAGGGAGAATCATTTTGGACGGCGTGGATATAAGGAGCTTGCAAATCAAGTGGCTGAGAGATCAGATTGGGATGGTGGGCCAAGAACCAGTTCTTTTTGGGACAAGTATTATAGAAAATGTTATGATGGGAAAGGAGAGTGCGAGTGAGAAAGAAGCCATTGCTGCCTGCATTGCTGCCAACGCTGATACTTTCATCTCTGCCCTTCCACAAGCCTACCACACCCAGGTCCCTTCCCTTTCCTTTTCAACCCTTCCTTTTTGTTACATTGATAAAATACATACAATTCTTCATGAAAAGCAATTTTCTTTTTCCCTTTCTTATTTTGCTCTTAAAACTTTGAAAATATATACTTTCGCGATTCAAACTGCCGGTACGCTTTCCGGCTTGGAACGATTGTGACTCAAATGGGCGAGGCTCTCTATTTGCTTGCAATGCTGGCTGGTCGCCTTTAGTTAGAAGTAGAAGTAGAAGGCTCAATGAGTATGCTCGAAATCAGTCGATTCTTGAGCCATTCATTCTCCCCTAATTAGTGTTTGCCAGCCACGGGAGCAAGTAAGAGAACAACAAGAATCCTAGATTTTGACTACGGGACCAATGCGCTTACGCTGCCTTCAATCAAACACTTTCGAAGATGCAAGGGCAAAGATCGAAGCTGCTTTACCGAGTTTACGAGGGAAATAAGAGTTTTGTTTTGTTTCTTCTTCTTCTTTTTTTTTTGTTTACGAGGGCAAGCAAGCCAAAATCATTAGCTAATCAATGGAACAAGTTCCATTGCAATTACTCCCCTAAACTTTTTAAATTAATCATTTTAACTATTTATACTTTTAACAAATGGGTAATCTATTTTGAGTAAGTGTATTAATCTATTCACGTTACTAGTAAGTATTAGGTGACAAAAATAATAGTAAGGATCGAAATAATGATTAGTTTTCTTTTTCCATTTTTAGGATCCTAAATAGTTTTTTTTTAATATTAGAAACCAAGATAGAAAAAATTTAAAAATTTCTAGAAGTTTTATGCCCCATTTGATAATCAATTATTTTTAGTTTTCTATTTTTGAAAATTATTTTTATACGCTTGCAATTTCTTTAGCATATTTTCACACATTACAAAAGTCTAGTTGATTTCTTAGCAAGTTTAAAAAATTTCTATATTACTTTTTTCAGTTTTAAGATTTAGTTTAGATATGAAAACATTAAAAAAAAGAGTAGATTACAAAATAAATAAATACATAGTTAAAAATAACATTTACAAATTTAATTTTTAAAAATAGAAATTAAAAAAAAACAAAATAATTATCCACGAGATTAGAGATTAAAATAGAATTTAAATATAATGTTTAATATTTATTACACATTTTATGGGTTAGAAATGATAAAATTATTAATGTTTTAAGTAGCCACATACTTGATGATAAATTTAGTTTATTTTTAGGTTAATCATAATCTTTTAATTTGGTTCCTATTGCTCTAAAATAAAATTTAGGGACAATTTTTGGGATTTAATCAAAATTTAAATTATTGGGATTAAATTTAGACTAAGTCTAAAATCTATAGATCAAAATCGAAAATTTTAAAATTATAGAAACTCAATAAATCTAAATTAATAATTTAAAATGATAGAGGTGAAACTTATTATCATTATTATTTTGAATTAGTTTGGGTGGTAGTTTCTCTCTGTTATTTGTACAGCCAACTAAAGTTGAGCTTTTGGGCAGGTCGGAGACAGAGGAACTCTGCTCTCCGGTGGTCAGAAACAGCGAATAGCATTGGCCCGAGCGATCGTTAAAAACCCTAAAATTCTTCTCTTAGACGAACCAACAAGCGCTCTGGACCCTGAATCCGAATCTACAGTTCAAAAGGCCATCGATCACCTCTCGCTGGGCCGAACAACCATCGTTATTGCTCATCGCCTAGCAACTGTGAGAAACTCCCATGTCCTGGCCGTGATCGAACATGGCTCCGTCGTTGAAATTGGTAATCACCGTCAGCTAATGGAACGAGAAGGTGCCTATTACAGCCTCGTCAAGCTCGCATCCGAAGCAGTACGAGAAACTTCCTCCAAACTAAATGATGATCACAAACTCACTGATCTTTCCTTCAATGATATCTCGAAGTCGGAGTACGTAATTGAGCTTTCGAAGTCGAGGTACTTTAAATCCGCGGTAGAGGAGAAGCCAGAAGAGAAGAAAGAGGAGAAACGAAGAAATGTTCGAATTACAGAAATCTTGAGATTACAGAGGCCGGAGATTTCAATGCTGCTACTGGGATTTCTCATGGGTTTGAGTGCAGGTGCAATTTTGTCGATTTTCCCTTTCATTCTCGGAGAGGCGCTTCAAATTTACTTCGATACCGAAACTTCGAGGATGAAAACTAAAGTTGGGCATTTGTGTATAGTGCTGGTTGGGCTGGGAATTGGCTGCATTCTGTTCATGACAGGGCAGCAAGGTTTCTGTGGCTGGGCTGGAACTAAGCTAACAGAGAGAGTAAGAGATCTTTTGTTCCGATCAATACTAAAACAAGAGCCTGGTTGGTTTGATTTCCCCGAGAATTCCACCGGAGTTCTCATCTCCAGGCTATCGATCGACTGTATCAATTTTCGTTCGTTTCTAGGTGATCGGATCTCGGTGTTGTTGATGGGGTTGAGTGCAGCTGCTGTTGGCCTTGGTCTCTCATTTTGGCTTGAATGGAGACTGACCCTGTTGGCTGCTGCTCTAACTCCTTTCACCCTTGGTGCCAGTTACATAAGCTTGATTATAAACATTGGGCCAAAACTTGATGAAAATGCTTATGCCAAAGCTAGTAATATTGCTTCAGGTGCAGTGTCAAACATAAGAACAGTGACAACGTTCTCGGCGCAAGAGCAGCTGGTTAAAGCCTTCAATCAATCGTTATCGGAGCCGAAGAAGAAGTCGGTTAAAAGGTCACAGATTTTAGGCTTAACGTTTGGCTTCTCCCAAGGTGCCATGTATGGAGCCTATACACTCACTCTCTGGTTTGCTGCACGCCTTATTCAACAAGGCAAAACAAGTTTTGGTGATGTGTATAAGATTTTCCTTATTCTTGTTTTGAGCTCCTTTTCTGTTGGACAACTTGCTGGTTTAACACCGGATACTTCCATGGCGGAGACTACAATTCCCGCGGTGTTGGATGTCATCAATCGGAGGCCATTGATAGGCGACGAGAAAAGAAAAAGTAGGAAGAAAGAATGGTTGAAAAGTTTTGGTGTTGAGTTCAAAATGGTGACATTTGCATACCCATCTAGGCCTGAGGTGATTGTGCTGAGGGACTTCTGCTTAAAGGTTAAAGGGGGCAGCACGGTGGCTTTGGTTGGTGAAAGCGGGTCGGGTAAATCAACAGTTATATGGCTTACTCAGCGATTTTACGACCCGATTCGAGGGAAGGTGCTGATGGGAGGTGTGGATTTGAGAGAGATCAATGTGAAATGGTTGAGGAAGCAAACAGCTTTGGTTGGTCAAGAGCCTGCTCTGTTTGCTGGAAGCATAAGAGACAACATTGCATTTGGAGACCCAAGTGCCTCATGGACTGAGATTGAAGAGGCTGCTAGAGATGCTTATATTCACAAATTCATCAGTGGCCTCCCTCAAGGATATGAAACACAGGTAACTTCTTAAAGAATAAACAATTCCAGAAACTCATGTGTAACTTAATAATGACTGGATTTGTCTAATGACCCGTCTATTGGTTTCTATGATCTTAGGTTGGTGAGAGTGGGGTTCAGCTATCGGGTGGCCAGAAACAAAGGATAGCTATAGCGAGGGCGATTTTAAAGAAATCAAGGGTGTTGTTGCTAGATGAAGCAAGCAGTGCATTGGACCTGGAATCTGAAAAGCATGTCCAAGATGCACTTAGGAAGGTGTCAAAGCAAGCTACTACGATCATAGTTGCCCATCGCCTTTCGACTATACGAGATGCTGATATGATTGCAGTTTGTAGAAATGGCTCGGTCGTTGAGCATGGCAGCCACGACACCCTAATGGCCAAGTCTCATCTCGGTGGTGCCTATGCAAGCATGGTTCATGCAGAATCTGAAGCCACTGCATTTTCTTGAGCTTAACTGCTTAGCTTTGTACTTCACATTGTTGATAAATATACTCAAATCAAATTCATCTCATTGGACGAACATCGTTTTCGGTCCAACGAGGATGTAAATATTGAAAAAAATTGATTTGATTTGAACAAAGATTGTTTATGTAAAAATGCAGAAGAGAAGAAACATGAGGATTCTTCTACAACTTCACATGACTTTCAGGCCAAAAAAGGGACACCTTTCTTGTTCATTTTTATGAGGATAAACTATAATTACTCTTCATTATGTTTGCTTAAGTGAGGGAATATTTCCAATTCATATTCCTCATTTCAAACTTGGAAGACAAAAGTCCTTTTCATGTCCATAAAGACGATGACAAATCAAAGTTTTGCCTTATTAATCAGTCATTGTAATGATAATTAACCAGCTTTAGCTTCACCAGAAAGCTTAACATGTCAATCCTGCATTCAATTACCGTAAATAACATTAAGTTAAAAGTTGGTTTTAACAAACAATGTTCGTTAAACATACAAACTGTTCTCACTTTGATTATACAACACTAGAAAATGACATCTCAATGGCTTTACCTTTCGACAATGGCTTCCCCACCTGTAAATTGAAATGGGTAACGCAATGAAGAAGTTACCAAAGTAAATTGACCACACTGCCCCCAACTGAAACCCAACTAACACTGGCACATGGTGGCAGATATGTCATTTCACCAAAGGATAAAGGGCCACAACCATCTGGTAAACATTCTTCCTTTGCTTTTAAGCCAAGAGAAGCTGATGGTTACGTGCCTGGTCTGCAAAGTTACAGGATTTATTCCCACTTCAATCTTCAGCAAACAGAGAAACATTACTCTTCTTGTGAAATTTTATTGTCCCAAGTCTTTGTGTATTATATCTTTTCTTTCCTTTTGATAGAAACTCTCCCTTTTTAGGTACTCCTTTTCTCTCTCAGCACAAGCACGGTTGTTCTTTGCTTTTCTTATCTGGACTTGCCCCATCTATTTTTTATGCTTGGATGAGGTGAAATTTATGGTTTCATAGTCAAAAGCGACGAGGTTTCGGAATGGCGTCTCTTACACCAGGAGTATTACTTAAACTTCTGCAGAGTATGAACTCCAATGTGAAGGTCAGGGGAGAGTATAGATCAGTCTTGTTACAAGTGATCAGCATTGTACCTGCCTTGAATGGCTCAGAACTGTGGCCTAACCAGGGCTTCTTCGTAAAAGTTTCGGATTCTTCACATTCAACCTATGTCTCATTGTCCAAGCAGGATAATGAGTTGATCTTGAATAACAAGTTACAGCTTGGCCAATTCTTCTATGTTGATCGAATGGAAGCTGGGACTCCAGTACCGGTTCTTGTCGGGATCAGACCGGTTCCTGGACGACAACCTTTCGTTGGAACTCCAAAGGATCTTATGCAAATGCTAGAGCCGTCAGAGAGTCCAGTGCAGGCTGATCAGGAAGGAAAAACTGGAGCTAAATCAAAAGAGATGTCAGAAACAAAAAATGAGACCATGAGACATAAAATCATTATCAAGGAAGAAAAGGCAAATGTTTCCTCAAGGTATATGCAGGGCATTTTGTCGTTGAATTCTAGAAGCGGTCGATTTGATTCAAATGCAGGTGTAAGGAGCAACGAAAACGAGGACGGTGAAGCAGGTAAGAAGGTTGCAGTAGGACCAGTAAAAGGAAAGCCAAACGACCTTAAAGGTCAGGTACAATTCTCTTTCACACTAACCATGGCATTCTTTTTTTGTGTAAGTTCCATATTGTCCATGTGCAGATTAGAAAGCTTAAGCTAAGAAAGGTAGCTTCAATTCCGTTTTCAGATTAAAGAAGGAAATGAAAATACACATAGATTTGGTTACACTCGTCTCATCTTTTGGCCTTTAGCTTTATGTACACAGCAATTTTGACAAAATTGCAACTGGAGCACCATCTTGTTTCGTTGATGCACATGCACAGACAGATAATATCTGATTAACAAGGTTTATTTAAACCTCAGAAAAGATTTGGACTCATTCTATGCTTGCATGATAGGTGCAAGCAACGACTCCGCACAACCGGCTCGATGAGGTTTCTTTGAAACCAGAGACCCTTCAGTTCAGCATCAAAGAGGCTTCTGCGCCATCTAAGAATATCCCAACAAAAGGCACTTCGAATAAGCAGGAAAATTTGAATGTGAATTGTTTGCCAAACAGAAAAGATAAAATTCATTCCTCTGAAACTATTTCATGGGCCTCTTTGCCTACCAATCTTTTAAAGACTGGAAAAGTATGCATTCCTTTATCTCATCCTTCTGCATTCTGAATTTAACAGATTCTTACTTTTCTCACTGATCTAAAGTTGCTGTAAATGTTAACTTTTGTTTTCAAGGGGATTCTTAAAAGAAAACATGTAGCTTCTATGGTCGCAATAGAGGCTCAAAAAGAGGCAACTGTTGCAGCATCTCTTGTCAAGTGTCTCAGGTATGTTATTGTGATATAAATATTGAAACAATCGACTGTTTCTTACAAATGAATCTCATTTCAATCATTTATTTTCAGTGTGTTTGCTGATCTATGCTCGTCGGCATCACCAGAAAATCCCCAACTCCCACTCATCAAGTTCTTCACGCTGCAGCAGCTTATCTCCCAAACAAATCCCACAGATTCAGTCAAGGACAAGTCGCTACTTTTGACTGCAAACTCATCTCTCCCAGAAGCAGATAAACCTACAAAGGCTACATCTATATTTCAGACAAAGAGTGCTTCGTCGAAGTCAGCAAAGGCGGCTACTGAATTAAGAGAGAGCGAAAAACAAGAATGGGCCAGAGGGGATGGTGCAAAGGAGATAAAATCACTAAGAGAGGTTTTGCTAAAGGAAACAACATCATGGTTTTTAAATTTTTTGGAGGAAGCCTTGGATGCTGGGTTTCGTATAGGAAACCAGGAAAAGAAAGGCAGGAACAACGTAGGGCGACAAACTGAGGCAGACAACCATATTGCTGTAGCATTATCACAGCTCAAGCAAGCCAATGAATGGTTGGACAAGTTAAACGGAAATTTGAGTTCCGCAGATAATAACTCAAGGGAGACTATTGACAGGCTAAAACAGAAGGTTTATTCCTGTTTACTTGTACATGTGGAGTCTGCCGCATCAGCTCTAGAGAGCAGATCCGACCGTTGTTGATCTAGAACAACAAATCAAAACTCTGTAAATTTTACGACACAATAACTTAAACCATTTAAAGTGACTTTAATTCCCTAACGTCAAGAGTTTGCCCATTATTATCGATAATTGGCCTGACATATTGATCGATAACACGTTCAAAACAGCTTTCTGTAAGCTGCACTCCCTTTCCTCCACAGTTCTCTACATCCTAACTCGGCATACTTAGTTATATCAAAAGTGTTCAAAGTTCAAACTCCTCGTACTTACTAATGAGTTATAGGTTAAGTTAATGCAATGCAGTGCTATGTCAAGGTGAAATAGGCACTGAACTGAAAACCAGCTCATGTATTCAAGTCAAAACAAAGAAAAACAGAACAAAGTTACCCTTTATTAGATGTAGAGGCGCGAGAGATGCTTTCAAAGTTGTTTTTGAAAGGAAGAGAATCCAAGTTGGAGAAAAAGGGCACACGCCAAGAACCTCCATCTTGGTGGTGAATCTAGCATGTGCCCTGCCTCTCCAACATGGCTCCCTCTTCCTATCCCCTACCAAAGCGCGGCTGGTGGTCTCTTGGGCATTTCAACAAACACCTTATGAGTGTACAAAAGGAACTGCAAGAACACACACATATTTAAACAGCAGTGGCAGTCAGTAAACAAATGGGCACACATGAGAGTGAGTACTGAAGATTCCAAGTAAATTTAAAACTTCTTCTCAACCACATGGTAGTTGGCCAAGTCATGGGACCAAAGAAAAAGTAGAATGGACCACACCAGCCACCCAGCAGAATTTTAACCAAATATTGTAACAGTTGCTCCTGGGATTGGTCGAAAAGCTTTGTTGATGAGATTGGGAAGCATGTGTAGGGGTAGGCGAGTGGTTCATCTTGATTTGTTTATCAAATAATTGAAAACCCATCACTGGATCTGGCTGCCAAAAAGAGAGAGAGCTTCAATGGATGCCAAACTGGCAAATTCAGGTAGATATGGGGCTTTCTACCAAATGTCACCAACCTTGGACTGGTAGATCTGAAAATTGAAATGGTCCAACACTTAGTTGGAAAGGATGAACAATCATTTCCAACAGATTTGAAGCAACCTTTTTTGGTTCATTACTTCAAGTCTCTGACTTATAATTCTATTGATGAAACTGTCTGTCCATTTTCGAGTAAGTTTGTTAATCAAACAATCTTTAACTCCTAATATAGATACATGTGACTTGACAGAGGTAATCATGGTTTTAAGAGCCATGATAATTACAATAAACATAAGCTTTATATCACAAAATTCAGTTGGAAGAAAGAACCATCCATGCAAACCACAATATTGTGAATTCATGGATATTTATGTTTGATTTTTAAGGCTCTCAGTCCAAAATTTCCATTTTCCATATTCATACTCATTTTCATTCCTATGTAATTTAGAAAGTGTGTTTTATCTAACGAAATATGTTCGGATTCGGATTGACTTTTAATCTTGATACTTTAATTTTAATGAAATTCGTTTTTATTATAATATAATTCAAAAGATCTTAATTGGTAAACTATGTTAATGTTTGTAGGAGTTCGAATGCTACCTTTTGATGATACATATCTTAATTATTTAAGCTACACCCGCTCTTGAATGAATTATATATATTTATTTTAATTTCTCATTTAAGAATGTTACCTTACTTCAATTTCAAGGTAATAGATGCAGGAGGCAATAAACATCAATAACTTTGGATTATTACAATATACATTTCAAATTTTTATTTGACCATTTCATTTTTCTTTAATTAAGATATTATTGAGAACATAATTCAGCAATTAACACATCTTACTCATTTTTTAGAGGTTGAAGGTTCAATCTCTCATCCCACAATTGTTGTACTAAAAAAGTCAATATACTATTTTTGTTTTTTTAATTCATCAATATGAGTGTGAAGATTCGAACTTCAAGTATTTCGATGGGATATGCCTATAATATAAGAGTCTCTCGATATGAAAACAAGGGATTCAATGGAAAACAAATTACTTCATATTTTTTCAGTGTTTTCGAATATGTGTTTGGGAGCAAATTTGGAAATTGAATATCAATTTAGCCCAATTTGAAAAAACTGTTTCATCTGTGCTTAGTACTTATCAACTAAATATTTAATTCAATCTAAAATAATATTAATTAATTTATCAACCTATGTTATAAATTTTGTAGAACTAATTTTTACAAAATCATATATTTTTTTTTAGTAAAAATGAAATGAGTTTATAACACAAAGACTATACTTACCCAAATTTATTTATTTATAAATATAATTTATTTGATTTAGTAAATATGAAAATACAAGCATGTCCTAATAAATATTTTTGTTACGACAATATTACATTACAAAATTGAAACTAGAGTAGCCTACGGTTTGAGTTTGCTTAAATGTGTTAATTTTCGTTAATTTTTTTTGCAAAGACATTTTCGTTAATTGTAACTTGTAAGGTAATATTTAGAAGACGTTTCATAAATTAAGAAAAAAAAGGGGTAATATTTAGAAGGAAAAGAATTTGTTCAAAATTTCCTTAAAGCATTTGTGTAAATTCATCATCTGATGTACGCAAGTTTTGAGAAGCACATTTTGCAAAATTGACTTGTGGCGAGGGCAATGACTCCATTTTAGGGAATTCGATCTGATCCCGAGCGACACACGCTGCAGACATCAAGCAATCCAATTCCCGTCTCCATCGAATTCCTGTCCTTTCACAGATCCCTTACCTTCGCCTTTCCACCTTCTTTCTCCTCAGATTCCTCCATCGTCACCGCGGTTCCTCGGATCCCCCAATGATATAACCTGGTAATTGTCGCTGACATTACGATTCTCTCTCTCTTTGTTTGGTATGTTTTCGTTCTTCTTTCTTACAGAATTGGACAATTGTGAGTTTTTCTTTTAATTTTTTTTTTTAAATTTTTCCGGGGACCTATCGATGATTGATTGATTAATCCCTTCATCGGTCCGATAGCATTCTATTATAGTGCGGAGGAAATGGTTGATTCCTTGTTTTGGATTGCGTTCTTGAACAATTGGCGGGATTTCATTTCTTTTCTAATTGTACTAAGAAAACAAATGGCCAATTTCTCCCGGATCGAGCATGCTGGACGTGAAATGTCTGTCTCTAACTGAATTGGTGTAGTAACGACGAGATCCGCGTCGTTGTTTCTTGCTTTCGGCTATTGTTATCTATGTGCGTAATGGGGTCGCCTTGTGGATTTGAAGAGTTGCAGTACCAGTTTGGTTATAGAAAGTGTGAAATATATTAGAGAAAATGGGCAATGGTTGGAGTAACGTCCTTTTCGAATACTCTTGTAATGATACTGTGTAAAGGGTATTAATATTTAACTTGTGGCCAATGTGGATTCAACTAAAGATATTGGAAACTTAAAAATACGACAATCAAGAAGATGAATTTGCAAATTTAGGACTTCTCAACTTCGTATTTTCACTTTTAAGAAAGGTTGACAAACCATGTCTCATGAAAATTGCCGTATTTATTATTATTATTTTTTCAGTTTCTATTTTTTTCCATTTGATAAATGATCTCGTTGTCATTATATGCTTGATCCTTAGCTGAGTTATGGATGTGGAGATACTCCATCCATACTCGGTTTGTTCCATCATCTGTAAGATATAATGGCTGACATAGTACAATGATTTTATCTTTAGTTGGGGGACATATCAAACTAAAGATGGTGAAGCTTACAATGATTGCTCGTGTTACTGATGGTCTTCCTCTAGCTGAGGGACTGGATGATGGCCGTGATATGCAAGATTCAGAATTCTACAAACAGCAAGTAAAGGCTCTGTTTAAGAACTTGTCGAGAGGTCAAAATGAGGCTTCAAGAATGTCTGTCGAGACAGGCCCATATGTCTTTCAGTATCCATACATGATTGGCCTTCACATCTAACTAATAGGATTCATTTTATTTTGAACTTTTGAATCTGCATGTCCATGATGTCATAGTGTACGTGTTAGTAAATAAATTAGGAAGTAACTCTTTTGTTTTACTCCGTAGTCATTAAACCAGTTCTGATTTATTATGACTTGTGGGGACTGGGGAGCTATAGTTGAATAAGATTATCCCCATTTCTACTTGTGACATGAAGTGCAGTGGAAAGGAAATAAACATGTGAGTTAAATTGATCCTGGTGCAATCTGACCTTTACCTTGTCAATTTGATGGCAACTAGCTGACAAAGTTTTTAGTTTTTTTGAGGTTTGAGTTTGATGTTGAATATGAGAACTTATTTAATTTTCCTACTTGAGTTTATCGTACCGAGGAATCAATATGTAGGCACAACATATAAATGTGTTTTATTAAATCTTGGAGAACTGCGGTTTATTGCTTTAAAGTGTCTAGAAGATTATTAGGCCAGAACTATAATCTTTTCATTTACCTTGACCCAAGTTTTTAGCTATATAATTGAAGGAAGGGTCTGTTATTTGACCATGTGTGATCGAGCTTATCCAAAGAAACTTGCCTTTCAATACCTTGAAGACCTGAAGAATGAATTTGAACGTGTCAATGGGGCTCAAATTGAAACTGCTGCCAGGCCTTATGCATTCATTAAATTTGGTATGAATTACTTGGCTTTATATACATTTTTCATATGCATTTTGAACCTTATAATTTTTTTTTTATTCTCCTAGTGCTATATTTGAATGTTTTTTTCCCACCTCCCCTCCTATGTTCAACAGATACATACATACAGAAGACGAAGAAATTGTACCAGGATACACGTACTCAACGTAATATTGCAAAGTTGAATGATGAACTTTATGAAGTCCACCAAATAATGACTCGCAATGTTCAGGAAGTTCTTGGTGTTGGAGAAAAATTAGACCGTAAGATATTTCCTTTTCCTTTTATCTTTCAATGTCATTCAGTTGTGCTTATGTATTTGATAGACCTAGGGTGAAGAACGTTTATTATATTTTTGAACAAGATACGAACTTTTCATTGATAAATGAAAATGAACAAAATTGTTCAAAGATGAAGAACGTTTATTATAGGAAGAGGGGATGCGTGGGTATATCAGGAAAAAGTAACAATTCTGTTGGAGAGGGACCTCTGTATGGCAGAGAAAAGGGGTCGATTGGGCATTATGCTAGGATATATACTCCTTGTTTGAGAGGTAGGGGTTTTATTTTTTTGCCTGATGTCTTTAGGACTGTTTGGGAGAGATCAGGGAGCTCTACAATTCTCTCTTGACCCTTGTAATTCCACAAATTATAAGTAATAGAGAAAGGAGTTTCTATCAGTATTATCCTATCATAAAAAGATTTGTGATAAAGATAATGCATTATGGATCACTTTGTTTTTTTGTTAGTGCGAGTAATTCAACTCTAATTACAAGCTAAATCATATTGTTCCCATTTTCTAGCATGTGAGCGTCTTTGTTATAGGAAATGGTCAGCCAAATTATATTTATTCATTTTGGAAGAGATTTATACTCTTATGGTTATGGCTTACTTGAATGGGTTAGGGGAACCATTCAGCGGTGTCAAAAATGATATTTTTATAATTTTAAATTATTTAAATTTTGCAGAGGTCAGTCAAATGTCAAGTAGGTTGACATCAGAATCCCGCATATATGCTGACAAGGCTAGAGATTTGAATCGACAGGTTAGTGTCGTATTATTGCTTGATGTGTGCTTTCATCAATCTGTTTTAGTTGAATATTTACTGCCTCATGCACGTGGACTTTGAATGAGAATTATCTTTTGAAAATGATCAGGTTTCTTATATAAAAACAAGACAATGGTTCGATGTTTCGTGAAACTTTCTTCTGATAACATGGATTCTCTATATAGTTATTTGAAACCTGCAATTTTGATGGTTGGTATTACTTGGAAAAATAAGAAACAGAGGATACTGTTGAAGCCAAAAGGGAATATAGCTTGAAAGCTAGAGGAAAGAGGAATCCCTAGCCTAGGAGGCTAGAAAAATACCCTCCAATCTAAACTATTAAAAAAGCTGCTTTTGTTATGGAAATTCTATGTCAGGCACTCCAAGTGGAAGCTGTATGCTGTACATTTAGCCAAAAAATCATCAGAACTTCAACAAACATCATTAGGAATCCCAAAACGGACCGGAAAAGAGCTCTGGATGTGCCTTTTCATAATACTCTCTCTAGCTTCACCTTTGAGCCACCACCTTATAGAGCTCATTATTATTTATGAAAACAGGGCATCAAAGCCAGGGAGATTTGAGAGTTCCCCAACTCTCCCTCAAGAACTCAATAGACCCTTACCGATTTAAGAATGCAAAAATCATACCCCTCTCCAGCAAACATTACTTCTAAAACCTCCCCTCTTTATGTCACAGCCATTACACGTCATTCCCTCTCACTAACAATATTCCTAGGGACCACACAAAATGTCCCTGCCTTACTAATTACGTGGCCACCCTTGTCTCACACACTTGTACAAGATTTAGTGATTTGGGGTCTATCACCACCTTGAAAGTAACTCTTGGGAGTCAGTCTACAACATCATCTTGCAAAGAGTATTGAGCCCAAAAATCTTTAAAGGGACCGCTACCCTTTAGCCACAAACTCATAATGAATAGTTGGGACAAATCTGAGGGAGGCATAGAGGAAGAGGTTTTTTATTTGAATTCTGTTTTGAGTAGAAACCAGAGATTAAATGTGAAGCTTAACCTTTAACCTTTTTTGTGAACTTACCGTCCTAATTGAGCTCTGACAATGGGGTGTACAGCTTGGGTGCACTTGGAGTTGAGCTTGAAATTAGCCGATTTACAAGCAAAGAGACCCCTTCTTTCAAGATTCTAAACCACTCTATCACTTCCACTGCCTAATCTTACAGGATGAAGCTTGATTGTTGGTATCATATGTGGAATCACAACATGCAAATTCACATTTATGAAAAAAAGAACTTCTACAGTATTTTTCTGGGGGCCTTGTAATCTTGACCCTTGGTGATTGAAAAGTAGTATAGTTACTGAAAATGCATTTGGAAGATATTTAAATTGAAATAAAATAATTATCAATGATTAATCCTGTCGTTGTTGTAAGATCTAAGATTTCAGACTGGCATTTTAATGTGTTGTGAAATCCAACTGTCGTCCTCCTTTGGAATTTAAATGTGCCTGAAATTGATGTCTTGTAAGATCTAAAGATTTCAGACTCTGCATGATCTGTTGTTAACTGACCCCATAAGCATTGTTAGTTTGCTCTGTAAGATCTTGTGTTTCTTAATTGATTAGAGTCGTAATGCTTAAAATTTTCCATTCTTTCTTAAAATTTTGAACCCAGGCATTAATTCGGAAATGGGCGCCTGTTGCTATCGTGTTTGGAGTCGTATTCCTCCTGTTCTGGTTTAAATCAAAGCTCTGGTGATCCAGTTGCCGTTCCATTCCAGATAATCTTAAGCTCATTTTCAGGCTTCTGTTGATGGCTTCTAGAGATGGGATCAGAAAATTAGTGTTTTTTTGGTACCTCTAAAGTGTAAGAGACACATTCAACTTAGTAAATCCAGATTAAGTAGAGAAAACGTGTTTATGTACCCCCTTCCTCTCCTCTCAAATATACCTTTTTTGTTCGTTTTACATTAAAAAATACCATTATATTTTTTGTATTAGTCTATCGTTTTTTTGACGTAATTCATGTTAAGATTTACATCTTTCAGATTTTTACCGCTTGCTTTTTACTCTTGTGCTTGCAGCTTCATTCTACTGTTGCTAATCCATTGAAAACAAAACAAAAAATTTAAGGTGAAATTTGACCTTTTGGATTAAAGGAGTGATGTAAAGCTTCTGAGTTAGACATTGTCTTTCTATCCAGCCTTGAGGAGAGGCATTTTGGTTCATGTACATTGTACCCCACAATTTTACACATTCCTATTTTGAATGGAAAAAAAAAATAGTTTTTATTAACAACGCTAAAAAAAAAAACCAAGGTTTATCCTACTTCTATCATTTAAAAATTTTAATACAATATTTAACGGTTCATGAACGTTTTAAAAATACTATTTGAGTAATCATCTTAATGTGATAAAATCTTGAAAGACATGACAATTGAAAATGGGGAAGAAGCTACCCTTTTTAAAAGGGCATTACAAAAAATTAGATAGGCAATAGAGAAGTAAACTCTATTGACAATAGATTAAGAGAACTTTTAGGACAAAATTATGACATATATGCCACGTCAACTTTCACATTAATTGATATTTGTTGGAAGGGTATTTTTGAAATATTTATGAAAGATTAAGGAGAGTAATAAAGCTTTCGGAAGAATATGAGTTATTTTTTAAATAAAAGGTAAAGTTAAAGGGTATTTACATTTATAGTGGTTATTCATTTTCAAGTTAATTGCAGTATTTTTTACAATTGTTTGCTAAAAGTAAAAAAGTAGATATAAACATGAATACAAGTTATGAGTTATAACTTTTGAGATGGGCTCATGTAGTAAGCCCATGATTCGGGTATCGTCTTTGTTGTAAAGCCCAAAACACCAGAAAGATTTGGGTTGAGCCCAAAAACTACATTTGGTTCAGCATCAGGCCCAATTTGCAATTGCCTCCGTCCTCCTAGCCGTTGCAATTTGAAAATTTTCCTTAAATGTTATTTTTATTTAAATAGCGGTTGGGGGCAGAGCAACGATTCATATCCAAAACGTGATCGGAGAAGTAATCCATTTCGATGGCTTTTTCTGGGCGTTTCGAACCCACTCCTCGTCGCTCTGAACTAGAAGAAATTATCGACGACGATGGAGAATCTGACGATGAGTATGATTCTGATGATTCGGAATGTGATCCGAGTTACTCCATTGAGGAAAAATCCAATTCCAAGATTTCAAGGACCTCGATCAGGAAGAAATCTAAGCCTTTGTTAGTATTTCAATCTCTTGACAGATCTCTGACCTTTTTTTCATACGATCAACTATTATATTTGAATAATCGATGTAGTGCTGGATTTCATGAGGTTGAGTGGATTTGCAGGAATGATGTCGATATGGAACTGATCGCAGAAGCAGACATGGATGATGCGGCGCCGAATGTTACGATACTAAATGAAAATGATGAAAAAGATATCCACGAAGTGCTACAGATCATTAAAGGTCAGTCGAAGATTTTGAATGATTTCGTATATATTCCCCTCTGGTTCATTTATGAACAGAGAAGGCCAGTAGGAATTTGAACTCTTTAGGTATTATTGAAGTATTATATATTTGTGCCGAGTGTAAAGTTTTCTTTAACTCATTAGATGTGTTCCTTACTGGATGTTATATACATAGTCGAGAGGAGTAAAGCACTTGAAAATGTTACCCTTCTCTTGACCATATGAACTTAGAAAACACAAATTAACATTGTGTTTAATCTCTTCTTGTTCCTTACATGACATATTTCTCCATCATCCTTTGGCCTCAGCTGGCAAGCTAGAGAAACTCAAGGTAGAGCAATGTAAGGTTTACCTGAGAAAGAATGGATTGAGACTGACAGGAACTAAAGATGTACTCATTCAGCGCATCAATGAGCATTTGGAGTAAGTTTGTATTCTATGGCAGTATAAAAATGGTCTTGGAAGGAGTCGATGGCTAACGGCACCCTTCTTTTCTTTTAAGGATTTTAAATGGTGGAGGGGCGAAGAAATATCCAGATTATAGCTTTATATTGGATTGTAAAGGTATGTGATCCTAGTTACATGATAAGGATTCTATAACGACGACAAGAATATGGTTGTTTAAACATGTAGAACAATTTATCTGTTTTGCTCATTTTAATGTGTTACTGAGTAATGATGAAGAGGTGCTTTGATGGTTGATCATTAAATTTACTTTTGGTTTGTCAAATTGTCTACTGAACAGGAGATTTTTGAGGAATCCTTTTATCTTGTCTTGTTGTGCCCACCTATAATACATTGTATCTTCTTGTTATGTGGTGATGTGACTCAGTCCTCATAACACCAACATACTTGAATGGATATACTTATCGATCTCTGCTCTCATTTTTTATATTCATTTGATACAGGTGATGCCTGCATGGGTGATGTTGTTATGTTTGAACAAAAAGTATACGAGATGTAAGAATTTTTATTAATGTATCTCATTCCAGTTTTGTTTTACAAAAAGATTAGTTTATCTGTGAGAATGATGGAGATTAATATTCTCACTTGGTAGCTAGATGCAACGGAATTTCCTTTTCCCAGATACATAATCTTTTATACTTCCATGGATGGTTTCTTATTTACAAATTCCTCATTCAGGTACAATGTAGCATCTAGGAGCTCCATAGGTCCTTCATGTGGAACAAGAACTGTTGCAGGTCGCATTGTGAAAGAAAGCTATGGTGCTTCTAAACAACAACATACATTTACGGTGAGTGCAATGCATAATTTAGTACATTGTTGCAAATACAGTGGAAAAGAAGGCGCAACAATGCTTTTAGACGCAATATTTGAACTGTCAGATATGCCTGCGACCAGTTTTGGAAATTGGAGCAAAAATGACTTAGGTTGTATCAGTTCTGGTGGAACCATTGCTCAATAGCAACACTATTTGATATTGTTTTAATCAGATATATCTGATCCTCTTCTTTCTAGCTTAGAAGGCCAACGCCACCAAAGGTGACTTTTAATAGTAATTTAAGATGAATGACGACCAATGATGAAACTTAGTTATTTTTTCATTTAAGGGTTGATGGGTCTCATTAACTTTTGGTAGTTATCATCTTGAATTATGTTACCGTTCAGAATTATTTACTGCCCTCTTATCTACTTTTCTGAACAGATTGAAGTATTGTGGAGTAAGGGTGAGAAACCACTTCCTCCACTCCATCCCCTTTTAATCAAGGGTCGAAACCTTTACCGGATGAAGACTCTGAGACAGGTTACAGTTCCACATTCTTCCTTTGACCATTCGTTTATAGTTTGAACTTTTCTTTAAAATAACCCATGTTTTCAAATTTGTAGACTTGGGAAGACGAAGAAGAAAGGCAGAAAGTTTTAATGGAAAAACATGCCAGGGGATCACTTGCAAGATCAAATAGGGAAGCACGTGTGTTAGAGAAAGAAAAAAGAAAAACGCACAAAGATAATAGGTATTATTTTGCATCAAACAACCTTGAAAAATGACTTAAGCATCGATTTCTCCATGTGGATAAGACAATATTGGATTTGTTATACTTCAGGATATCAAGGAGAGAAGGATTTAGTGAGAATCCTTCCCAGTCAAATCTAACTTCAGCAGGGACAATGTTAGCTGAATCCATGGTAAGTTTATCCGTTGATTCAAGAAAAATGGGGATTCATCAACACCAGCAAGGACCTCTCTGCGGTAATCCAGGAAAACCACTTCAACGTCATCAGTCAGAAAACAGAACTATGCAAACAAAATCAGATCTGTTCATTAACCACAGGAAACAGCCATTTCAAGAGAATTACTTGACCCAACCCCGAATCAAAGTGGATCCTCCGGCAAGCTACAACACACAGCCCCGAATTTACAGGGCTGATCATGCTGCTTCTGTTAACAAGGTTCTTGATGGTACAAACCACACATCCTGGAATCAWTATAGACTACCAATGGGCGTTTATCATCATCCTATAGTGAAGAATCAACCTGACAAGCAACAACGATGCCGTTATTATGCGGAAGGGAGATGTTACTTCGGGGAGAACTGTAAGTTCTCTCATGAAATGATGACAGAGCGGCGGGACGAAGAAAGATGGCGCCACACGCATCATGCTCGCCTTTGTCGGTAATGAACACACACACACACACACAACTCTAGGGTTGGCTGATGGAATTTTGGGTTCTATGGAAAAATTTGTTTTTTGTATTGAAGAAGTAACGCACCGATGGTTGCTTTGATAACTTTCAACTGAGATCAAGTTAATGATCTTCTCTCATCTTGAGATTTGATTTTTTGTAGCCTGGCCAATTTCCTACTTGTTGATTTTTTTCCAAAAATTCACATAATTTTCTTTAAGTAGGAGATGAAAATTCAAATTTTATAAAATAATCTTAACTAATTGAGCTATTTTCAACTTGACTTACTTGAGATAAATACATCTTGATCACTATAAGCTTGACTGATCCTCTTTCTTGTCATGAGTTGATTAGTCTAACTTATTGACCAATTAAAATAGCCATTTTTAGACACGTCAAATTTTAATGACATAATTTAAATTGGCCAAAATTTATTGAATTTTATCCCATACATTGCCACTCAAATGGAGAGAAATTCATGGAAATTCTGTAACTAACTGTACATACACTGAATCCTACACCTCAGAAGCTAAAGAAAGACACGTACAGATTCTACTTCATATCAATGATCTAGAACATCTACGGTTGCATATCCCTAAATGATTGGTTATTAAACTAAAAAGACTAAATTGATCTGCTACAACAATTCTTCTTTATGAATTATTTACAGAGTTACTCTTGTTGACACCTTGCATATCCATGGGGGAATTTGTGATACTACCAACCGAACCAAGGGGGCTTGCGGGGCAAACCTCGGGATTGCCTGCACTCAGAGCATGGATTGTCCCTGAACTCATTTGCGGGCTCATCGGAGTTCTCTGATTCATTTGTTGCGGGCTCGTTGTGGACGGCTGCTGCTGCTGGGTTTGTTGGTTAAGCTGTGGGACGCCTCCAATGGTTGAAGGTGAGCCCACCTGCTGTGGCGAAACAACAGCCTGAAGTGGTGGTGTTGTTTCAGGATGCTGTTGTAGCTGCTGCTGAGGCTGTAGCTGTTGCTGTTGCTGTTGCTGAGGTTGAGCTGGTTGCTGCTGTTGTAGTTGTTGCTGCTGCTGCTGTAATTGCTGGTGTAGCTGCTGTTGTTGCTGATTCATATATGTACCCATTCCTGGCATCAACTTTGGAGGACCCATTTGTCCTATTGCTCGTTGCATCGGGTTCATGCCACCAGCTCGGTTCAGAGCATGTCCAAGCATTGAAAGTCCAGCTGAGCTCGGATGTATCTGTCTTGCTCCTGGGATTCCACTTATTGCCGATTGAGAGCCAGCAAGCATGCCTGCTCGGTTCTGCATCCTAAATTTCGTAAGAGCAGCAGCTTGCGCCTGGGCTGGTGTTATTGTTCCAGGTCGGAATTGCTGACTGATAGTGTTGTTAAAATTCGATGCCTGGGTTAAGTTCATTGGGTTTTGACCTGCATTGCCCATGGCGGGAATAGAACCCATGGATGCTGGTAGTCCAGTTCCTCCTATTCCTCTGGTAGCTCCTACGCCCATTGAACTGCCAAGGCTTCCAAGTCCCACCATGTTATTGTTCATATTGCCCATTCCCATTATCATTTTCCTCTGCATTTGTGATTGTATTTGCGATTGCTGCTGCTGCTGCTGTAATAGTTGAAGGGGAATGGATGCCTTGTTCACCATGTTATTACCCAACTGCATGTTAGAATTCTGGCCAATGGCATTCAAATGCGAGAGTGGGTTTGTTCCGAGCATCATCGACCTCTGGAACTGTTGATGCTGCGGCTGCATCAGGTTTTGCTGATTCTGCTGCAGTGATGGCTGTGACTGCTGCTGCTGCTGTTGCAGTTGCATYGAGGGTTGGGTGTCTGCTTGTTGCGGCCTTGCAGGTAGCGAAACTCCCGGCATAATTCCTTGAGACATTTGCTGCATGGCCTGAGGGTTTCCAGGAGGCAACATCCTTGTGTTTCCTAAAAGACTATGGGAGGCGTTGAGCAGATTAGCATTACCACCACCGCCCAGCTTTGGAACTTCATTCGTTGTTTGACCCGGAAAAGCTTCGGCATAATGCTGCATCTCGATTGCTGGATTAATAGGAGGAAGCCCAGCAGCATTCGGTTGATTGCTGGGGGATGGATTCATACGGGTTGGCCTCAGTTGAATGATATCTTCAATAAGATCATAACCTTCACGAACCATCTGCAAAATTGCATAATTCGTTTACCTTGAGAAGAAAGCCCATTATCTACAAATTTTAAAGCTAGTTTGATAACTATATTTTATTTCATTTACTAAAAATAAGTTTGTTTACCCATAACTTCTTTATAATTCAAAAATATTATCTAAAACAAAACAAACTTCTATTAAGAATTTCAAAAGTTACCAAGGATACAAAAGACTCATCAGAAAGCAATCCCATAAGAAAAATACATAATCTCAGTCCCAAACCTAGCAAGGGCACATACAATAAAACGTGCCAAAGAAAGCCAAAGATTTTAAAGACAAAAAAATATTAGTTACTAGAACTATTTATTAGGGGAAAAGAGTAGTTGCCAAACAAGTCCGAAGAAATTTAATGAAATGAAAATTTAGATCTTACCAATGAAGATAATTGATCAGCAAGCAAGTCTGCCGAAATCTGTATCATAAATCATATCCATATACTTGTGTCAGACTGTCAGTACAACTGAAGAGATGCGAGAGATATTGAGCAATAATCAGATAAGAATTAAAACTACACAAAAACATGAACTCAGTTACTTTCTTGCACAGCACATCATGTTTGATCGTATGATGCATTCTAGTCTAGACTATCAACAAGGTCTTCATTCAATCATATCAAGCTACATTAGAGACCAGATATTCACAAGTTACAACTATTATTCCGATGGACCTCATTGCCCACAACTAAAGAAGAGATCTACGTGGAATTGCCATACAGACACCACATTTATAGCTTATAATCATTTGATAATGAAATTCTATTCAAACGAATTTAAAACAAGTTTGATTCGTAATATAGACACCTTGTTGTTTCTTTTCGGAATTCTTCATATTTTTCTTTTTAAAATTTTGATCAGAAACCAAGGTACAAAAGAGAAACACACAGGCCCTAAGCAATGCTTCAAATGGGAGCAAAAAATTACAGAAAACGACTCCAATGGGAATGGTTTATAGAAGGATAATCACATGTCCACAGAAGTCCAAAGAGGGCTGTTCGATTAAGCAATACTCGAAACATCCTCACACAAACCTTTTACACCCAGAAAAATCTTCCAATTACTCTCTGAGAAAAACCAACAAATATTAGCATGAGGAATTGGTATGCAGGGAAGTGTAGGCTGCAACTATTATATGGCTTTTTCTTCAAGTAGAACGAGTGGAGTGGGGATTTAGACCTCCGACCTTTTGATGAGGAAGATAAACGAGACATGTTCTCAATTAAACTGTTTGAGATCAAATATTTGCAACGCTAGGAGAAAAGCTAGCTTTCGCAAGAAGTCAAAGCCCTTCCTGGACTTAGTATCAATGGTAAATGCAGATCACATATGCACCTTAGTTGCCCATTTACTTTTAATAAGTTATTTAAGAGGAAAAAAAAATTCATTTGCTTCTGCTGCTAGTGGTTGTTGAACACCTTCAACCTGAGGGTCAAGTTTAAAGAGATAAGGTCTAAGTTCTGGGGATGTGGTTGTTTTTGTGACCTACACTTGAAGGACTCTATCAAATTATTTTTGCAAGTATCCCTTATGATCTATTATAGTCCATTGGAGAAGGATACATTTAAAATTCCACAAGATAACAGAGTAAATATATTGGAAAACTGGAAAAGTTGTTGGCAGCAAAACATTTTTAACCAATCAACAAACATATATGAAACCTTTGAACTCAACTCCAATGAATCTCTAAGAGCAAAGTATATAGTAAAAATAATAGAGCTTACAGTATTTGGCAATGTCGGAAGACAATCCTCAATAGCAAAAAAGTTGCTATCATCTATATCTTCGTAGGTGATTGCTACAGTTCCATCATTGGGCTTCTCTGACAGGATTACCCTACCTCGAAACCTAGAAACATATGGAACCATGTTTCCTGCAGAAGCATGGGAAGAGGTTTCAAATGGAATGAAGAGTTCAACAAAATAACATCTGAAAACTCACAAAGTTGCAGACCTTGATGTATACGCTCTTGCAACATAAAAGTTAACACCCTTCTTTTGCAGGAATTTAGGCTGCCGCCAGCTAGGGACTTCGACATCTTCCTCTGACAAGCATCATCTTTTAAGTCATCACTAATGGATGCGTTTGCCAAATGAACCGCAAGATTGTGAGCTGAGAATGTACTTGGCTTTCTGATAGGATATTCATTGACCTTATTCTTTTTACAGTTGAGCTGATGCCTGCATAGGTTTTTGTTAAACAACAAAATAAATGCATTAAGGTCCTGAAAATCCTAAGATAAAGCCAAAACCCTGGCACATGAATTGATGGGCCATCTTAATGTTAGAAAAAGAAAGAGGTTAGATATCAGAACTTTACTTTGCAGTCACCATTTCAATCTTTGAGAATTTTTCAAGCATGGTTTGATCAGCGAAAGGTGGGGTTCCAACCGAAGGACTGTTCGCATTCAGGGGAACACTCATATTACCAACACTAGCAGGAGATCCAACTCCACTGATTACTGGGGTTTTGGGGAGGGAATTTGATCTTCGCCTTACAGCAACTTGGGCCTGATGTTGCCTTTGCATCGAATCATTGGCACTGGAAGTCATGGATGGAGTTCCACCAACATGAGAAACGGGATTAACGGCAGCCTTCTCCTTTTGTGCTGATGCAAGTGCAGAAATATTTGCAGGCACCCCAAAGTGCTGTCCACCTGAGCCACTAGAGAACTCCCCTGATTTTGATGATGTTGGTTGGGCCATAGCTCCTGCTGACACACGAGGACTTTGGACAGTTTTTCTTTTCGACAGTTGGTCCTCCTTTCTTGCTTCTTTCTCTATATGCTGACTAAGACTATTCCAAGGAGGCTGAGAGAGGTTAGATCTAGGGAATGTTTGCTGGGGTGGCCTTTGCTGAACCCGGGAATGCTGAGGGTGATGATCCAGGTGGTTTTCTGCTTCCATCATCTGCATATCAGTTTTGCCTCGACTGAGGTCCGATCCATCTACCTTTTCTGTATCAAACTGTTCTTCCTTAGCTCCATAGCGCATAGCTGATGCTGATTGTCCTGCAGCAAATGGAATTTGTACAGAATCCTGATTCAGGGCTCCTTCAAACATCTTCTGAGAAAATTTCTGGACTCCTGGATTCGAGTACTGAATACCTCTTGCTATTTGCTGTTGCGACCAAGAATTCTTCCACATTTCAGATCCCTGGGGTCCATCCATTGGCACCAATGGATGCTGTTGAATTCCATCAATGCCCATGACAGATGGCCTTGGTCTCTTGTTAAAACTGGACAAGGGTGACATTTGCCCATCTTGGGTTTCCCTCTTTCCATGAAGAGAGACATTAGGGTTCAAATTGTCAGCATACGAGATCATTTCTTGCCCAGTAGGGGAAACACCCGATGCATTAAGAACTGACCCGGCTGCTTGATCGAGCATACTTCTTGGGGTTACATTGCCCATAGAATACCTAGATTGTTGAGATACAGATACTACAGGTGCTGGAAGAGAAGCATCCGAAGTAACATTCTTTGGTTTTGTTGCTAACATCTCATTTAAACTCATATTTTGACCAACTATATTATCATGGACATTAGTAGAAATCAAATTGCCAGAAACGGTTCCCGAATCTCCCAGTCTGTTATTAGAGCTTTCAGCTACTCTATCTATGCAAATTTTCTTCCCATACCTATTATTAGATGTGATAGATACTTCTGCAAGTTGTCTCAGTCTCTTCCTCCGCACACTGTACTGAGAAAAATTGAGCTGCAGATGGTAACCATAAATGTTAACTACATAGAAGAGATGGAAACTCTAGTTCCATAAAACATAACCATTTGAAATTACATCACCTTCATAAGAACTGGGTTATTGCAGAGCCTATCAAACTTGGGAGAAGGGTCAAGATTAAGTTGCGGTTGCAATGCTTTCAGAATCCGGGACTCCACTTCCTATATTTCCGAAAAGAAATAAAAAAATCCGATATCATACCATCAAAGTGTTATCAAAATTATTCAATAAGTTTATGAATTATTCATACTTACCATCAGATCACCATAGTTCCATGAATTATCTGAAATTAATGGAATATCTTTTACCACATTTTCCAAGGACATCCTAAGATGCACCTTATTGACAATAGGTAACCCATCGATCGATTGAGCACCAGGCCCCTTTGAAGGAGTACAGCCACGAAAATCTCTCACCTGCAGGAACAAAATCATGGCTAATTCTGAAATCTAAACTGTAAAGTAACAATAAAACCATACATAAATATGATCAAGATTACACTAAAATTCTGAAATTTAACATCATACGCACAAGATACACGATCATGAATTAACAAAAAGAACCAGAAAAACTAATTGCCTGACGTTAGTTTTCTTCTGCCACTTAAAAGAGATAATTGAGCAATTAAACTTGAAAACAATCTCAAACACAACGAAAGTAGTGGCATTTGTTCTCTAATGCTAAACTGCAATAAGAGATATAATGTGTTCTATAGTTCATTCCAATCGTTCTTTTCCAAAAGGAGTCTTGCCGGTTTCTGGTATGCTGGCAGAGGGATGAAATTAAAACCCAACATAATTGATCCAACGACCACAACCAAGATTGGTCGTTTCTATCAAACCATGTCTTTATTCTTGATATTCCCCACCCAATAGGATCAATATAGTTTATTAGTTTTAAGTATTAAGCAAGAGCAAAACAAATGCCAAAGGCAGAAAGCAAAAGTTGAACCCTTCAAAGACTAAAATATAAAGGAGTCCGTCAACCAAAAAAAATATACATAATATATGAACACATATACATAAATATTTCATAGTTTTCCAATTCACACATTCCATAGAATTTTCCTAATTAATTTGCATTGTTTAAGCAACCTAACCATGATGTAGGCTTCCTGAAGGTAAATTCACAATTTAAATAAACTCACCTCACAAACAATTGTGCCATCAACATATTTGCAAGGTATATCATCAAGAATATCTCCAGGCAATCGGCCACATTCAATAGCCTTCAAGCACATAAAATAAAGAAAATTAATAAAAGGAAACGCTTCTCTTAATGAGAAAAATGAGACTTATAATACTGATAATATATAGACAACAAAAGAAAATGCCTGCTAGGTACATTGTAGAGCAATAAAAGGCAAGTTTAACAACCGTGGAGACTATCAGGCTCAGAATTAATAAAGATCAAAGAATTTGAAAGACTGATAAAATAGGAGCTCTCTCTTGTAAAATCCATGCTCAAGGGCATTGCTGAAAGCCTGAAAATAAGGTTTCACCACTCTAGCAAGCTAGATTTGAGAAGGAATGAAGAAATCTTAAGGAAGTTATTAGATTTATCCTTTGGACTTCTTGAGGTAAAAATGTCAGTTCAAGAATTTAAAAATGGGGTAAACTATAAATAAGAAATCTGCTCAACATCAATTGTTTCGTAGTAAGTCTACCACCCCTAGAAAAATAAGCTTTCTGTCAAGAAGCCAGCCTCTGAACTTTGATAACCATATAATCCAAAAGAGAGTGAGTTCTAAGATTATGACCTAAGAACTTCCAACATAAAGACCATCAAATGCAGAACGATGCTAATGATCTTAAGAGATGATTCTTTATATAGTTAATAAAAAAGAAACTGAAAAATTGTATTAATAAAAAAGGAAAAAAAATACAAGAATAAGGAACAAAGAGTCCTCAACAAAGATCCTACTAATTACATAGCAGCAAGTAATCCAAGTTTAAATAACCAAAATAAATTACTTAATTAATCAACAAAAACCAATCAACTAAAATCTAGTAAAGTAGTTAATGTTTGCAATGTTTTAAATGACTGACTAACTAAGAAGGCCTTTGTGGAGAGACATGAGGGAAAACAGATGATACTTACAGAAAACAAGCTTTCAGATTTCCTGTCATAAGGAAGTAACAACTTTGAATTGTCTTGTAGAGTACTCGGGTGTATAGTCTCGTTCTGGAATTCATGATTATGAAGTTAAGCATTAGTTATGATGTACTTCCTATTCCTAGTTACTATTCAAATGAATTGATGCTCTTTTCAACAGACCTCTGATGGTTTTCCGATAGAATATCCATCTTGAAAGAGGTTTAATGTGAAGGAAACTCCATTCTCTGAAAAAACGATATTAATTAAAAAAAATTAATGAACCAAACATAACAAGATAGTGCCTAAATTAGATAGGAATCACCTGTTGTTAGGCGACCTAAAGAAGACTCGGATAACCCGGTCACCCCATTTACATCCCCACTTCTTTCAATTTCTTCACCCTGTAACGTAAAGAATGAGTGTATTATAATACCGTAAACAGAATTATCATATACTGACTTGCTTTAGACGACAAAAACTCAATGGAATTTTCGCTAATTTCTAATTGTCAGGCAAGAATAAGTTTTATGCTTGAAAGTAGATAAAGAACAAAAAACAACAAAAGCATCCACTGCAGTCGGGCAGTCCACAGCTGTAGAGGCAACATGAAATTTTTTATGGAAAAATTCCTAATTCAATATAACTACCACAAAGAGAACTAAAAATAATTTGATCAACTGCAATGGGAGGTCTATCTTTTTTAGTCTCATTAGATATATATATATATATATATATGAAGAAGCTTTATGTCTCAAAATTAACCATGAAAAGTAATCTACCTCTGGTAATAACTGTCCTAGTGTGAAACCCTATAACTATTAGTGGATTAGTGCGGTTAGTTGCTCTATTTCTTCTCTTCCCTCTTAACATATAGGTCTACCCTTGACCCATAATTCCAGGATTCCTTCACATTTTTGGAAACAATGGGGTATATATAAGATGTCTAAGAGATTGGTTAGTTGGAAAACATGGAAGAAGGCTTCCTTCTCCAATGGTGGGAGATTTGGCCCTTATCCAATTGGTTCTCTCTTGTATCCAATTGAACTACTTGTCCATTTTGAGGGTGGGTTCTAACATAGTTAGACTGCAAGGTGTGATATGGGATTATATATATATATATATATATATATATATATAACTGAAATTAGGGCTTCTGAAATTCCCTCTCACCTTCTATTGCGAATCAATGGTGATTCGGGCAAGAACCAACTGAAACTCAGTTCTTATTTACTGTGTATATATATACTTGGATGAAACCCAACTTTTCATTTTGGACTAATAAAAGAATACAAGGGGCATACAAAAATAAAGCCTGACAAAAGGAGTCAAACTAAAACAAAAAAGGGCTCCAATCAAGCAAAATAAAACCTATAAGGTACCACCAAAGCCCAAAGAGAAACATGAAACCTAACAAGGGACCACACCTCCTCCTTAGATCTCTCAACTCCTCTAAATATTCTATCGTTCCTCTCAACTCAAAAGCCCCCACAAAATCACACAAATCCCAGCCAGCTACAAGAAGAACCCCTTATCCAAAAAGGTGCGGTTAAGGATTAAGAACCCTACCATTTTGGATTAGTGACCTTCCAGGTTATAAAAATAAGATGAGCCTCATGGAATTGGCATAAGATTGCTTCTGTTAAGAAATAGAAATCTATAAAAATAATATTTGCAGATTACAAGAGAAGGTAGACAAAATTTCAACTAAAGTTAAAACCAAAAGAATTAAGAAACATTCTCCACCTGATAGAGAAAAATAAATTATAGAACTGTTGTCCGCAGGTTGAGAGTTCTCTCCAATAGTTGGATTTCTAATCAAGCTTCTTATACCCCTCATCATAGCTTCCAAAAGGCCGTTTTCTGAAGGTCTTACGATGTCCTTATAGCACACCTCTTTGGGTCTATGTGACGGAAAGGAAATTTAATTTTGAATGGATATTAATGTTTGTCCTACTACGTATGATGCATCTTATCCCTAGCTTTATAATCTCCCTCTTTAGAAATCTAATTTACTTTCATTCATTACATGTTACATTTTCAAATTCTTGAGAATCAGATTCCATATATGGAAGATATCACAATAAAGAAAAATGTAGAACTCGCCTCGTTTCCTCATTCTCTCTGAGGTGTTACTGTTGTCTTATGACTAGGGTAGAAAGGGTGGACAGCGTTGACTCTACAATCCCTTCACCCAGAAATCTCGTCGTCATCGCCGTCATTACTAAGTTCTACATTTTTCAACTGATCCATTTGATCCTTAAACTTTATATAAAATTTTATTTTAGTCTTTGCCACTAAATTTCTATGTCGCATTATCAAAAATTTTGTATGGCATTGCATGAACTTGTGTTTAAAGCTAAAGAATTTGACGATATAACAAAACATTTTGAAGTATGATGACTAAAACGAGGTAAATGTGAAATTTTAGGGATTAAAATAAGGAGCAATGAAGACGTAGTAGGCTGAATTTCTAAAGTTTTTTCCTTAACCGGTTTGTCGTCAGCAGTTAAATTCAACCATATCCCGGCTCGGATACTGAGTAAGAAACCAAGTAAAATAACATTCATCTTTTGATCTCATTTACAAAGGCACAAAATTAAACTCCCTCCAAACAACAAGCACATGCTGAAATCAGATTTTTCATTTCGAGAACCGAGGAAAAGCAGAAGCTCAAGTACTTACCTCGAGTTTTCGAGCTAGAGAAGATTCATTCTTGGATAAAATCCTCGAACTGTCCTTAGAGTCGTCGTCGTCGAGGGCACTGCAGCCAGACTGGGCAACACAAGATTTTGAACGAAACCGTTTACCCTTTTGAGAAATTTTGAAGGAGACGCCCATCCCAAATGGGGTTTTAGAATATCTTACGAGAATTTACGATCTTCCAAAGGGAAAATTTGAGAGAAAAAGGGGAAGAGAAAGTTCAAGTTCCCCAGTTCAGAGGGAAAATCAAATTGGGGTACGAAGTTACGTCGGCTCGAAACGCACGGCCTCACGAATCAGAGACACGGGCGATGTTTCGGCTGCGCGATTCGGTTTCGGTTTCGGTCCGATTTCATCGGAAAATTCTCCTTTGCTATGGAGATCTTTTGCCACTCGTCTCTCCTCCTCTACTTGTCACTTCCCCTGGGTTCCAATCGAAGTCTTATGGAAAAAAGAAACAATCAAAATTCATCCATCAATTTCAAAAGAGCCTCCACTTCTTATAATTTTTTTTCCCTTTAAGAGTTTTTTTTAATACAATATTTGGATGGGAGATCGAGATCAAACTTACAATCTATTCATTGGAAATATATATCAATTACTTAGATTTACTTTAAAAACTTGAGATTTAAAATATGTGTTAATTTTCCTCACTTTTAATGTGTTTAATAAATTTTTAAACTTAAAAGATATATGTTTTTTTTTTAATTCAAGAACATGTTAAATATAAAGTTTATGTTATGATGAGATACAACTCCAAATTTTTAGTTTTTTATCTTTTTTTTTTTTTTGTAAAATTGTGAGCTATGGAGATTTATTTGATGATCAATATGCAAAACTAGATTCTCATTGGATTAGTAAGTTTTGAGAGGTTATGAGAGATGTGTACTGTGTTTTATTGGTGGGTGAATTTAGGTGAGTTGGAAATGGTAACATTTGTTTATATCTGAATTTAATTGTACGAAATTGAAGGTTGAAAATGAAAATTAACATCCAATTGCGAACTTCAGGGGGTAAATTTGTTTATTTTTTGTAGGCAAGAATATCGAATATTTAATAGTTGAAATTTTAATATTTGTTTGTTTATGTAAAAGGATTATACTTAAAAATAAATATGTTTGTTTAACAATTGTAGTCATTAAATTAGATCTAGAAAATAAATAAATACTTTGAATTATTTAATATTAGTCACTAATCAAAATATATTTTCATTTAATATATTTATCACATTGGATTTTTGGTAGGATTATGATACAAGTAAACTTAATAAGAAACACCCTGAAAAGATATGATATGACCAACAAAGAGTAAAAATACAATTGTCAAATAAAAATAAAAATAAAGAGAGAGAGAAACCATGGGCTAAAAAAAAGATTCTGAGCACGTCTGGGAACCTCTCGCAGGTTTTTGGAATTCGACATCAGGAACAACATTTTGTTCGTTCGGATTTGATTGTGTCATAGCCAGCAGTTCCAAGAGTCTCCGCTAGTTGAACCCCATCTAGWAGACTCCCTGTTTGAGAACTACGAAGCTTCGTAGACTCACAAAATTGCTCCGCTTAGAATGCAAACCTAGTTCACTCGCTGAGTCTCTTTGCATCCATGGCTGAATGGTTATACAAAACGCACTGGGTTTTTGTCTTTCTTTCGGTTTCATTGATAGCAGAAGAGCCTTACCTTTCGTAGTCGTACGTTCAAATCTCCCCTCCTAAAAAAATTGTAGAATTCTTTTTAAATCTAAAGACCATGGAATTAAATTTCCATTCACATCTCAATATGTGTAGTCAGCGTAAATTTGTTCCTAACTTGTAATCTACATGGTCTAGTACGCTCAATCAGCTTGATTCGTGACAACAAATAATCTAACTCCATACAAAACACCCTTCCCACCATAGATATTTCATCCATACTCCCGAAAATATTTTTATAAATTTGAGAGTTCTACATTTTCATCGATATCGATGCTACCTAAAACACTCTCAAGGGTGAACACAAACGTGTTTACACATCACATCGATACAACACGACCGTTAGGAAGAAAGCTCTTCAAACTCCATTTTACGTAAGGTGTACTCTCTCTCAAGTATCAAAAATTCCTGCAAGTTCAAAAAAAAGAAAAACAGATAACAAATGCACAAAGCCAACTTCAGGTACCCGATTCATTATATTATGACAAAGTAAACATTTTTCGAGTTTTCATTCAATTGAGATATACCTCGAACTGTTGCTGGCTGAACAAATGAGCGAACCCAGATTCAGCACTGGCCACGAGTTCAATCAACTTGTCATGGCATTCGGGTTCAACACCCAACTCCATCAGAGCGACAGAAACCTGAAAATAAGATACAATAAAAGCGAGAGTGAGTTTTTTAAAACTGACACAGAAATCAGAAAAGGATGCAGTCCAAATTTTGCGCCGTCAAATTTCTCATTCTCAGGTTTTCATCATACATATGCCAGTGTACTTTCAGGCTTACTGTCCTTGCTCGTTGAGAAGAATGCTTGTAAGCCAAAATAAGAGTGCTGAACAATTCGTTTCTCTTATATTTATTTGATACAAAGGTTAGAAAAGCATAAGTTCCAGACCGATTGAAACTGGATGGTCGGTTTTATGCTAAAAGTAAAACCGACACCATCTGATCAATGTGCCTAATATATATATATATATATATATATATAACTTACCCTTTCACCAATAAAGGATACCTACTTACATTTTAATTTGGTCTACTTCTATTTACTGTTTTTATATATAACTAGTTTCTCCCAAACGTATTTTGACTAGTTCACAGGTGGTTCAGCTATAAGAAAGAAGCATTTACCTGCATACATCTGAGAATAACTTCTGGGAGGCAGCACCTACGACAGAGACCTTGCACAATGTATGCTGCCGGGGCTTTTAGTGAACCATCTTCGGTTGAATACCGTGCATCTAAACGCAAAACCTCCAAAGTCACTCCAGCTTGAAAACCGCGAAGCTCACCTACAACACATAAAAGTCATTCTCCAAATCCATATCTCCTCGGATTACAACGATCCCAAGAACCAAATTCATAACCCAACAGAATAGCAACTGGTAAGTAGGATACTGGACCTTCAGGTGGAATGGTACTTCTCACCTTTGAATCCAGCGGCCATAATGCTACTTAGAATGCCACCATCATTGACTTCGTGATGGCCAAGCCCATCACCCGGTGCTGCTAAACAGCGAAGCACAACCTCAATACAGAAACCTTCCCCTGATGCTATGGAGACATTCACCTGCAAATTCGAAGTACATGCAGATTTAAAAAAGCGTCTAATTTTCTTATTCTAACAAGAGATGAGGATATAATGTAATAAAAGAGAAAAAAATTAAAGAATCCTAGAACTTTTTGACAAAAAATGGTAACGAATATTCAACCGAGCACAATAAGGCATCCAGGCCAACCCTGATTTTATTTTCAAGAATTTCTAGAGCTATGACCACATCTTTTTTAATTTGAAAGGGTAGGGGCCCTACTTAGCTATCCAAGGACAAAGTACAATAGGCCAGTGATCTGAAGCAAATCTGGGGCTCGGGATTATCCAAAGCAATGAAACAAAGAATAGAAGAATATAACAAAAAACAGATATATCATTAAAAATATATATATATATAAAAACCACACACATGCATCAAAGGAAAAGATTGTTTTCTGTTCAAGAATGGACAACATATGTCACTTAATTTAAGGTTCAATTTCTTTATAATAGGTAACATTTAAGGAACGTACCACCAGCTGCTGATTTAATATGATCTCTTCGGTTACGGAGGAGTAAAGGGCACTTGTTAGTGTTGTGCACGTGGTGGCTTCAGGGCACAAACATTCTCCAGAAGGTAAACAGAGCATGACAGTGGCATGCAATTCAAGATAAACAGGCTCCATTGACTCGTAGAGGTGATCTTCTGCAAAACCCAACCAAGAAACGTCTTTCCCTACAGAAAGAAATATTATTTGCAGAAAATTTGTGAGCAGTGAAACCTTTGAGTAGCATATCTGGTGTTATTAATTATGAATGGGGAAAATAATAGACAAAGCATACCAAGTAACAACGAAAATGAGGAATCAAGTGTCTCGTTGGCAGCTGCAATGGATCTTTGTTTTTCTTCCAATGAGAGATTGAGGGAAGACGCTTCAATATTCTCCAACTCAATTTTGAGCCAGTTGCGATATGTTGCATCACAGGAGAAATACTCACTCTAATGAAGATAAAATTTCTATTAGATGATAACAAATTAATAATCAAAACAGATACGGTAACAATAACCAACATGTTATAACAGAGGATTGGATGGCATACCCAGTCCTGGAACTCTTTTAAGTTCTCCAGAACACTGTTATCCTCCAATGCACTAAATGTTTCTGAATGCTGCCTCAAAGGCTCAGCAAGAAGACTAAGTAACTTGTGTGCACCATTAGGCATTGATGGGATTCTCCACATGGATATCAGAGCAAACTCTCTGAACAATATATTGCTATAAAACAACAAACGGTTGAAGTTCAAAAGCTGTAGAAAGCAGCAGTATAGGGGAAAAATATGGCATTAACAATAGACGAAATCCAACATGCATAAATCAGCACCACACTGTAGGCATACCGTAATATGATAACCACTCACCGATACACTCAGACAAGTTTACAGTGCTTAATACAGCAAGGTGAAAGAGATCAGTATGGCTTCTTTGCTCCATATAGCGGTATCAATTAACTTCGAACTCAGATGTAACTTCATATGAAATGGGGCATCATGCCAGATTTGTATGAACCAATCAATGTTCATAATTTATCATGATATAGTCAGTGTTCTGAAAAGTGTGCCTAGGAGCTACGCACCACACAAGACACCTCACTTCAAAAGAGAAAGGGGTCATCACAATGCGTGCACCTCAGCAGTTTTTTTTCATTCAAATTAAAATTTTAATTTCTTTTGTAAAAATAAGAAAATAGGCGAAAAGGGCCCTTGTGTCTCCAAACAATTTCCTGAAAAAGCCCTCAGTCTCCTTTTTTTTTCTTGTGTATGCCCGTGCTTTATGCTCTACCATGCCTTGCACTTTAAGCAAACATTCGATGTAGTTACACAGCAAAAACTAACTACTATTATTACCTATGTGCCAATGCTCGGAGAAGAAGTTTGGTGCTAACATCTTTAACATTAGCAATTGTTGAAGGAGGGGTAAAGCAGAGCCACTGGACAACCATAGCTTTCTGAAGACTCTGCAAGCGATGCTGTTCTGCAGCATCTGACAACTTATCAGAACTGCCATTTTTTGTCTCCCGAGATCTTGACAATACACTGTTCAAGTACATCACAAAAACACATAAAAATTATAACTAAATTTAATCATGTGAACTTCGGTCTTGAATTTGCAAGAATTAGCTCGAGTAAATGCAAAAGCACCTCTCAATGATTTCTTCAAAACTGCCTCTTGAATCATCGTTTGGAGAAAATGGTAAATATTCTATAGCAGAGAGAAAGATCTTATACTTGACTTGAACGCTGTGAACAAGCAAAAATAATAGAAATATGTTAACCATGGTAAACGTGTATATAATGCCCTGAGAGGCAAATTCATTCAAAAGGGATAACATATTGATAGCATACAGAACGACATCAAACTCCAACAAAATTCACAAATTCAATTATTGCTACATGCAGTGTGCGAGAATTATGTAGGCATTGCAAGATTATAATTAATTGGAAGACTGGGTTTGAAATATATATATATTTATGCCCAAGAATGCAGCAAGACCAGCTAGTGAAAACAGATTATTAGTTGAAAGTTGATCTACTTATATTTGACGGACGTTTGAAGAAAGAAGAAATTGTTTTGTTTTAAGAAAGAAAAGGTGTTCAAGTATGAATGGTTTTTGTACAATTGTATTATCATTATTAGTTTTTCCCATAGTTCATAGGTAATTTTCTTCTCATAATGATCCAACGGTTACATTATGATGATGCACTCATCGCAATAGTTGCCATTGTCATCCTCATTTTAATCATTGCCATTGTCGTACTTACCGTCATGATTATGCTATTATAATTATTAACGATAATAATATCATTAAACAAGCCTAGCAGCCGTCTCTCTCTCCACACACACATCAGTATTGCTTTTTCAGAATTGGGCCAAACACTTGAGGACCTAGCAAACCTGGATCTCTTCACAGATGATAATGTCAAATAAGGAAACTGGAAATGTAGTTAAATTAGATTATATAGTCGTGCAAAACATTTTGAGACTCAATATTGGCTATATGATTTCTGACATCCAGCAAAAGATTTTTCTTCCTCTTGCTAAGAACATTCTAATTAAAAACCAATTTGATTAGAGTCAAAGAACCACCATTTCCCTCCGTTCAGGTATACCTAAAATCACATAAAGGACCTCTCATCCATATGCCTTGCCGTGTAACATGCAGAAAATTGGAAAATAAAAACTATTCAACTGTAAGGATTTCAATCACCTGCTGTTGAGCCGAAGTTCCATCATGTGCACAAAGAGGTCAATGCATCGGTGGCTTGCTAACTGAGAAGCATATACACCAACCAGCTCCTCATGTTGCATCGAGAAGAGAAACATAGCATACCTGAAATCCACAGTAAATTATCTACTTGCACAATATTATATCTCTCTCACGTACCCTATCAACCCAAGTGAATATCAGGAGCCTAGTTAGAGACAAAAAGGCCTTTACTATTGCTTCACGAGAATGATGGGATGCCTAGATGCCCCCAGAATTAACTAGAATCAAAACAATAGGGTGATTACTAGAATATTTAGGAGCAGTAGCCCAACAGCAAATGTGAAAACAAAATTTGTCTCACATCCATAATCTCTCTAGTCTCCTTTTACCTAAAAATTCTATGGTGTCAGTCATCTAAACAAGAGCAATCTCTTTACCTACATGTGTAAAATAAGATCGCCAACATTCATGATCTTCTCTCTGAAGATATCCTTCATTTCTTCTGCAAGTAAATATCGAAGCACGAGCACCAAATGAGCACCAAACCGAATCATCTGGGGATCTCCATGAGGCCTAACAAAATCCAATGTGCTTATAGTTCAATCATCCATGAGGACATAAAGTAAATCAACCTGTTATTTTATTTCTGCTTCGTGTTTAAATTTCTAGTAACAAATATGTTTGAAATGCTAGTATGACACCAAAGAGAAAAATTCATTGACAAATCAACTATTACAGAAAGGACCGTTTCATCCTCGTGTATATTTGAAGAGCATTATTTTTCCCCTCCCCCAAAAAAAGAAGGTTCAGGATTGAGTCATCCAATGAGCTAGCAGAAATTTAAGTGTAGAGTTTGAGTTACAAGCAATATAATCATCTAAGCAAAACATGATGGAGAATGATGGAGTTGCCCCCTTCTAGGATTAGGCTCAAGCTAGCCTTATTCTGTTCACATAAATTGGATAAAGGTGCAAAACTTTATATCAGACTCAAAATATGGAGTCATTCCAACCATTGCAAACCATCAGCGAATCCCACCAACGAAGATTGGATAAAAGCTAGGAATTTACAGTTGAATTTATGGAACGGACACTCCTTTATGTTGCTTGGAGGTGTGTAGTATAGTGTTTTTATATTTGTTCTTGGAATATGTTAGATAAGTCTTTTTTAGTTATGAGCCTTTCATGAAATAATTGGAAGAATATTGTGTACTCAATCGGTCTTCTGTAGGCTATTTGCCTATTCATTTCATTCATTCGTTTATTATAAAAATAAATAAAAATATCAGATGGCAATGAATGACATTCTAAAGACCCTTCAATTAGTACAAGTAGAACTTGACTTTTCTTAATTACAAAAAATGGGTAACCCTTGCATTGATCATAACAAAAACACAGAGAAAATCTTTAAAATGCAGAAATTCATTTACTATACACACTATTATCTCTATAAAAATATATATATATAATATATATATGTTTAGTTTCTCTCGCGCCTGCAAAAACTAATATTCTGCCATTACAGACCAATTTATCAAAAGCTAAAAATTTTCTAGTTAATAATAAATATGCAACATAGAGAATGGGGGCGAATATAACCATGTCTCAAACATAGACATTTATCTAATAAAGACATTGCATAACCTGAAAACATCTTGATCATCTTCTGAAGGTGCTATCCATGACCAGATTAGGTCCAAGAGACGAGGAATGTCTCCAAGCATTAAGATCATCTGGAAAAGATGTTATAAAATGTTAAGATGGAATATTTCTTTTAAAATAAACATTACCCTACAGAAGGGTAACTAAAAGATCTTCACTATGTTTCATGTGAAAATCATAATGGGATGAGAAAGATCTGAGAGAAAAGACAACAGAATCATATTCTTTCATGTAAAATTATAAATAAATAAACAGAAATAGATGTTATCTGCATCAACCGATAATTTATAGTTCAAAAATAAACATAGGATAAATGGACATGTGACTATTTGATAGTAGTAGGCTGCTAATAGATTTCACTTACGTACAAAGGGAAGTACGTGACTCTATCCCTCTACCATCTTCAAGTAGAAGCACAAATCGTCTTATAATACATAGTCAGAATAGAATACCTAATGAAATTAACCAGCAATCACAATAGAACAGTTTGAACAAGTTTTCTCTTCCCCATATACTTCCTCTTCTATTGGACATTGGTTTGGTTGCAACATTTAACACGTAAAATCTCAAGTATAAAATCATTTTGTTCATTCCAATTGAATCAAGAATACCTGAATTTGCCGCTGCTGCTCTTTGCATCCACGGTTTACATTTTCATGCACCATGTCACTGAATCAGGAAAATGAATAGACCTTACATTTTGAACATCACGGTAATCACATTTAGTTTACATCATACTGTATTCATACCCTGAATGGAGTTTTTGAAGAAGGGAAGAAATCTGGCGTGGTTGCTGGCTTAGTACTGGAAGTGGCCAACTTTCTGGTCCATCGGGAACCTGAAAGGTTCTATCACTCTGTCCTGGACTTCCATCTACAGTGTCCATAATGCTTTTGGAAAGACCAATCTTCCCTTGTTGTGAACGAGTGAGTTCAAGATCTACTTGAACATCCAGCCATGACTTTGCCATTGCCCAGCATGCCGACTGCATGCAAATGGGAAGTCTCAGAGCATTAAAAAAATTAAAAGCAAACTGATATCATCGAAAGTCATTACAAAGATTCTTGGGAGAACTTTTTTCCACAATACTCGGTTCCATCATCCATGAATACAAGAATAAGATTATAGAGTTTATACTTAATTGTGAGATCAACCAAACACAGAGAGAAGACAAATATTCAAACACAAAACATTAGCCAACATTAATAAATCAATTAACAATACCAAGATAATAAAAAGTAAAACGAACAATGAGTCTCATCAGCATCCCAGTTTACACCACTCATAACTCAATTACCAGTTCTATCTGTATGCATCACAAATGGATGGGTCGCAGAAATTTTAGTTAAAGATTCTAAAAATTGCAGGGATTACTGTGACAAGCATACCTCCCAATCTGAGCATATGGGAAGCACACGCCTCAAATTTCCGCATTGAGCAGCATATACAGCAGCCTCATACTTCCCACCATCTACTTCTGCAATTTTCTTCAACAATATCATAGGGTATAAGTAGAAGCAAGTAATAGTAGAAATTTAAAGAAAAAAATAAATATATAGAACAACATAGAAAACATCCTCTATTTGTTGCCCATCCTCCAACGAGTAACAGCAAAATCGTTATTGAGCTAATCAGAAGTATTCAATTATGATCATAGATATTTACCAACAACCATTAAAAAGAGTTTGGAAATGAAATATTGCATAAATAATTACACAAGCACCTTCAAAACAGTAAATAAAACCTACTGCTTCTTCGAATAACTATAATTACCTCAGATGCACAATAAGAAGCCCATTTCCAAAGACGCCATTGGTGGCCCATGCCACTTTCTAGCTCAATTGCTTGTAGAGTTCTGTTCTTTCCATTCCTTACTAAGGCATCAATGGACGGAAAGTGTTCCAATCCACCAAAAGGGCACAAAGTTGCAGCTCTCCACGGCTGCCAAAATGTTGTTTGATGTATTACAGAATGAAACAAGATAAACCGGAGCATTGGGAGCAAACTCATAGCTCTCAGAAACTTATTTACCTGTCCTGCTGATCGGCATAGATCACATGCTTCTTTCACTCTACCAGCCTTTATAAGAGTCCACGCATCTTCTAAAAGAGATTCATCTTGTTTCTGTTGAGAAAAAACATCAAGTACATTCTAAATTAAAGCTGCTCATATGCGCTTATTTTTCTTTCTATGTTTGTCAATAATTCTCATATCAATTATAAAAAAAAGGTCCAAATCACACTCACACATGTGCCAAACTACACGTCCAATTAATGCATGGATTACAAATTACATGAGATATGGTGTTAAAAGGAAAAACGAAACATTACAAGGCCCCAAAAGCTCTTTAAATATGATTCAATAAGAGATGGTTTTTTTCTTTTATATTATTCAAAGCCCAATTTTGCACGATAAAATCATACTTTGTCATCCGGAAGTTGATGAGCATGCTCACGTGTTGGAGCATCAAAATCCAAGTGATGAATAGCATTTGTGTCAGAGGTTCCTTTCTTGAGAGACCGCTGAGTATTATGCCAAACTCCAGAACTGGGAAGATAAGTACCAACATGAGATCCACGAATCTGTAAAAACACATTCAAAATTCCAAAATAAAAATAATATAAATTAAAAAAAAAAGGCTAACCCCTAATAGAACCTTTTTTCAAGCTGTATCTCAGACACTTTATTGCCTGATTGCTATAAAGCTTCAAAAACTAACGGTTATAACTTTATTGAGTCTGCTTAACAATTTTAAAAATAATAATACCTATCATGTTAGCGACAGTTATAACTATCAATCTGTTACCTGACAGCTAGAATAAAATACCGTCATTCTAATTGGAGCAGGAGACATAATTAAATACAACATTAATTTTGAAATATATCACAAACGTACTACAAAACATGGCTTATGGTTAGTACATTCTCAAGTAAAGCTGTTAAAAAAACTCATCACCTTGCTTTCCAAATCGAGTGCTTTAGAGGCTAAACTTTCCAGCCACTCAACAATTCGAAGAGATAATTGAGCTGTATGGTCTTCTGTGACAAACTGGCAGGCCTCCAAGTGCGATGTCGGGGGAAGCTGCCACAAATTGGTAGTTTCATTTTAAGCACTTCAACTTAAGTATATGTTGCAAATGCAGTAAAAATTGCATATTTTTATTTGGAAGAGAAGGGGGGGAATACATAACCACAATTAGATCTTTGGGCATTTCTTTCGTTGCTGCAAGAACAAAATACCAATATTAGTCCCAAGACTAAATAATAAAATATTTTCAACAATAAACACCAGCATATATATTATACATATCTAGGTGGATGGGTGTGGGTGAGTGGGGGTGTTAATCTCATCCAATTCAATGAAGTACAGAAAGGGCAGATAAGAAATCCACCATGCTATCCGAAATGATCAAAGAAGGCATGCCAATTGGCAGCAATTAGAGGGGACAGAAGAAATCATCCAAAGAACACAAGAAAGAAGCTTTAGAARCATATCAGGTAAAACATAGTTATTATCAAGATCAAGATTCAAGACACTGCAGAAACTCATGGTCCATGGGTGTGGTAACAGTCATCATCTTTCTAAATGAGCCAGCTCAACATCCAAATAGAATGGCGCTTCAGGGGAAAAATTTAATAACGGAAATTTAAAATACATGTAGCAAGGTTTACAGCTATACATTAACTATTTAACATATTTATTGGCATTTAAACAAAACGATTGAACCAGTGTCCATAAAATATAGATGAAACATTAAACGCATATTTCTACGCAAATACAAAATATGACTGTTCAAAAAGTTTGAAGAAAGAGATATTTCCTTTCCCATAAAGGTACCACAAGAGCGACCAAGAAGCAGCTTCATCTATGAGAAACTGAGCCTTCTGCCTCATCAATTTGTCTTCAATAAAGCGGTGCTGAATATTGGAACCATACCTAGCACAGAAAACAACGAATAGTCAAAATCACAGTCAAAATATGCCCAGCAAAGGGATAAGATGCTTAAAGAATCAGTAACAATCAACAATTAGGTCAAGTTTTCAGCACGCACAAATTTACTTGCATGACCAACCATCATATAGAAAGAACAACCTCTTCTTATGTTTATACAGTTGGTGGTTTATTCTCCTAAGGTCATTCATTGCCTATGGTCGTATTAATACCCACGACCTTATTCAAAAGAGGCTTCTTTTTAGATACGAATCCCTAGGATGGTGCCTATATGTAAAAGAGACTCAGGATCCTGAGGTCATTTCTTCAACACTTGCTCCTTTGCAAGAAATGTAAGGATTTTCTTACTGCACAGTTTGAAGTGGCAGATGGCTCTCCCCCTCAACATCAAATCAACGACCTTCTTTCCTCATTTCTTGAAGGTCATCCTTTTGAAAGGGTTAGGAAGATCTTATGGCTTCAATTTGGGAGAGTTTTGGTTGAGAGAAACAATAGTCTTCGACAACAAAGGGAAGTCTCCGGTTGTTGTTCATCAGATTGTTTTATCTTGTATCTTCCGACCTTTAACACAGCTTTTGGTTGTTCTCTTTGTAATTTGTTTCCCTCCTTTTGGGAGTTTGTTTCTCTTGAACATTGTATTTTCTTTTCATTATTTGAATGAGAAGTTTGTATCCTGATTTTTTTTTTAAAAAAAGAAAGTCTTTGGGGTTTTAATAATTATAGTACTTCTTCTAGTTCTTGTTTAAATTCTCTTTATGTAATTTGGAAGATTTYTTTTCCTTGCGTTTTGACTTTCCTCCCCTTCTTTTATAATGCCATATGATGAATGAAATTGTTTCTTACCAAAAAATAAATAAAAATTAATAATAATAATAATAATAATAATAATAATAGAGGTTAAAATTCAAAGAGAAAAACTATAAAAGACAATAAAGTGATCCACACAGCTATTTGAGAAAACCAAAAACTAGATACCTATAAAATAATCCTAATGAGAACCATAGAGGGGAAATTACCTTATCGACTCTGAAACATTACGACAAGAACTCTCAAATCTTAGTATCAAGTCTGGGATAGACATCAATCCTGACAACAAATTTGTGTGAATAACACATAAAGTCTACATTTTTCCAAACAAAAAGTCCATGCCCAAAGAGAGGAAAAAGATAAAGAAAAAGGAACATATTGGATACAATTAGAACCTTGAAGTGAAGAATCCAGTAGAGATGCAAAAAAAGTATAAGTTGTATCTCCACTATTAGACAATGGGTCATTCTCGTGCTTGTAAGCCTTTAGTGAGTAGCGAACTGAATCCGGACCAAGAGATGCTTCTGAAATTTCCTGGCTATCAATTGATAATCTTCTTTTAGAGGCAGAACTTCCCTTCAATGGTGTCGCTTCCAGATGGTCAGCATCAAGGCTTTCGGCCTCTTGTTTAAAATTTTCAAGAAGCAGTGCAGCATTTGTTGGACTATGGAAACTCTGTCCGTCATATAGAATCCTAGACTCACTGAATGTTGAAGATGAAACTTCCTTGTGAGGCGATATGTTTGAAGGCCTTTTCCTGCACAAGCTTCATGCTAAGTGGTGGCATCGCATAGAAAGATATAAATTCAACAAATATTAGTAAGGAAGCTATTTAATAATATACTAAAGTATTTTTGGTGACAAACCCAACTTTCATTAAGGACAAATATGAAGGTTTTCCTGTTGTATACCAACTAAGAGGATGTACTAGAAGTTTTTCCAAGTAGATAAACACAGCAACCTGGCCATCCTTGACAAATCATTTTATATGGTTGATACAAAAAGAACATATCAATTTCACAGTACGCTAGGAACATATCCAAAGACGAGCCAAATATAAGAATCCATTTTCGCTATAAGGACTACCGATGAAAAGGGCATTTGAACAAAACAAACACCACATAGTTTGCTTTCACAACTTCATCTCAAAAGATAGGTCAAAGAAATCACGACGGGTGTCAGCAATGATGACTTAAGCACGAGTCCGAACAAAAAAAAGTAGAAAATGTTTATGGTGAGCAGTTAAAGGCCGAAGAACAGCATTGAGAATTGAAATTCCTGAAACGAAAAGAAATTGAGAGAAAGCAAACAACCCACCTGTATCGACGAAATTGCTGTCTGATGCTGAGATCTTCGGGGTCAAAGTAGGTGGGGGAGGCCTCCATTTCTTCGTCCATGTCGTTGAAAGCACTGAGGTTTAAGGCTTAAGCTGATCCAAGGGAGCGGAGATAGCAGCCAGCAGGCAAGGGAAGCGCGGGAGTATACTCTTCCGTTTACTCTTTACTAAGTAAATAAAACCCTCACCAACATTGCGCGCCCATGTGCCGTGCCAAAAATTTATATAAAACACCGAATATTTTAATATTTAAAAGAAAACCACATAAATTAATAATAATTCACTAAATTAATGACCGATCTCACCTCATAACTTTTAATGACCGATCTCACCTCATAACTTTCAATCTCTCAGCACTACATGTTATACTAAAAAATGCTCATCATTTCTTAGAGGCTAAATTACTTCGAAAAGATATTGATATTCCTTTTTAGGAATGAAAAAATATTATATTTGAAAACTTTTATAATTTTTGAAATAACTTTTTATAACTTTTATCCCCATCCATGTATCGGGAGCTTCTTCCAACCAAACACCCTCCAATTCCTCTTCCAGAGCAAACCTACCAACGACATGGGCAACTCGATTTCCTTCTATTCAACATCAAGTGAAAGAAACTTTCGAGTTCGACATTTTAAAATTTTCTTTTACGATCATCCCTACAGTTACAGATTCATAACTGAAAATGCGAGTAGATTCTTAAGTTGTGAAACTCAGCACCAATTGATTGAAGGACTGATGATGTTAAATCATTGATTAACACATAAATATAAAATCATATTATCATGTACAATTATCTTTTTGAAAAATTACCAGTTTATAACTTTATAATTTATACCCTAACTTCCAAAAGTATCCATTAAAGTCCTAAACTAATCCTAAGGTAAAATACTAAGTTGAAATTAAAAAATTACAAATAATAAAAACAATTGTTTTGATTGTACAAACACCAACCTTTTATTATTTGCACAAAATACGATTTAAATTTTCCTCATCACCAATGTTGATAATCAGTTCCGTATGTTTTCTTTGTTTTTGGGCGCAACAAGAATTGTATTCCCAATAACCAGCAAACATTGACAAAGAAGAAGAAAAAAGAAAAAACTAAAATACCAAACAGTACCCAACCATAGACTCCTAAATAACATCACAGCATTCTCTCATAGACACCAGGAATCCTCATATATCCCCTACTATAAATTCAGATACTCGGTACACAAATGGCATTCCATAAAACACACAGCTCTCAGGCTGTGGAAAAGCAAAATAAAAATAAAAAAGATCATACTAAGGCTCAGAAAACTCTCCACAGGAAAATGAAAAAAAAAAAAAAAAAGGTGAGATCTCTCAAACAAACGAACCACTCCATTTTGTATACATCTCTCTCTGCCTTACTGGTAATACATCAGCTGCTGCTGGGCTGCGGCCACATTCTGGAAACCACCATCATATATAGCCTGACTTGAGCCCGCAGCACCCATCCCCATTGCTGCCTGCTTTAGAGGGTGTGGTATTTGAGGGTGCATAAGGGCATGCACACCGCCCATTTTGCTCATTGCCAGTTGCCGCTCGTAAGCTAAAAGGTCGGTCGCCAAGAGTCCTGGGATAGGTGCTGCTGCAGGGGGAGGAAGTGGGTTGGAGATGGTACCGGGTGGAGTCGGCTTGCTTCCCCAACAGCACTGCAACCAGAGAAACAGAAAAAACCAGACATGAGTTAAAAATCAGTTCCAAAGAACAATTCTGAAAGGCTATATATAAATATACCTTTTTTCAAGACCGATGAGAATTCCAACCTGCTTATGTACATCTCAACTAATATTCCGAGACAAATGTTTAATTCTCTACCACACTTAGTTGTAAAACTTAAATCTAAGATCTACCACCTTGATTTGAACTCATTCCATTCCCCTAGCCCTTTACTTTTTTCATTAGCCTCTAATGATCATTAGACCAACCATTCCATTCCCCTAGTCCCTTTACTTTTTTCATAAGCCTCTAATGATCTAAGACCAACCACGGTGGCTAAATATATGATTTAGTCTCAATGCTTGAGTGTTTTTTCATTGACCTTACATTTTATTTTTTAAAATTATATTTTTCTGCTTGTGAATGTTAAGATTGACCAAAAGGATAAACTTATATATGACATAATAGTGGGTGACTTCGTAGGAAACTAGAAGAATTAGAACACCCAATAGGAAAAAGTTTCTAATGCTTCCAAATGTATAAGTTAGCCTATGACTTTCCTTCCATTGAATCGTTTAATTCCTCTAAGCTTTTGCCTAACTCGCTGAATATATGACATGTAATTTTATCATCAACCAACTTTAAACATTCACCTATAATTAAAAAATGTTTAGAACACAAGAGTTTTTTAAAGAATTAAAGAATGCATTAAAAAAATATCCCCATCACCATAACAATATATTTAGCCAATTCTGAACCATTAGGTGATGCTATGTGCTCAGCGATGAAATAAAACAAGACAAATAAAGAATAAATTAATCTTGCTCATACGAGTGTACAAGACTGCATTGGCAACGGAACTACTGTATGATATAAGCCAAAGTCTTGTAAAGAATGAAAGCATTTCTCTAGGAATAAAAATAGGAACTTTGTTAGCCAGCAGACAATCAAACCTTGATTTGTTTGCCACAAAGAAATGACTGCGTATTTCCCATCTGAATAGCCAAAGCTGCCTCGGAATGAGTACTGTATCTAACAAATCCAAACCCTTTATCACGCTGGATGCGAACCTCCTCAATCACACCAGCCCCAAGAGCATGGAAGTGGCGATGAAGATCAACCTGGGTGACCTGCATAAAAAAGGAGTAAAAAAATACTCAAGATCTTAGTTTTAGATCGAATTAAATAGTCAAGATGTTAGTTGTCAGAATAACTAAAAACTCCTAAGTATCACGGACATCAGACAACCAAGTAAACACTGTTGGATTATCCTTCAAGACGTTATTCTCATCCATAAATAATGTCATCACTCCTGCCCAAAAAATAATCTCGAACAAAGAAGATATGCAACAAAAAACAAAAAGTTCTTTATTGAGGGGTTGATGTTTAGGGCTTCCTGCTGGAGCCATGATTTCCATCATGTAATCACTTCCAATATCTTGCCCAAATAATTTGCAAACAAATTGCCCTTCCAGAACAGTTAGGAACAACAGGAACCCAATTTTATATTGCAACCTCAACTTGCGCATAGAGCTAGTTTACAAATAATTGGAATGACTCAGAAAAGTTCAAAGGCGAATCAGTGCAGCTGTGTATTAGCGTCATGCTATGTACTAAATTTGCCAAGTTTTTTTCATGTCATTTGATAAATCAAAACATTTAAAATAAATAATGTAGATAAAGATTAAGTAACTTGCCTCTGGAGCAAGATTGCCAACGTAAACAGTAGTGTATTGAGGATTGTTCTCTGGGGCATCACTATTTACAGTCTCTTTACCATCTTCTGCAATGTCAAAATCCATGCAAGTATTGTCAACAGTTTACAGGATCCACAGGGTAAACAAAATGACAAAAGCGAAACATTCTAAACTTCTGATTCTAATCAAAAAACTACGGACCTGTTTGGTTGGAAATTCGGATTCTGTTTTTTGTTTTCAAATTCACTAAATCAGATGTATTCAGTGAGTAAGCATTTGGCAGAATTTGGGAGATTCATTCTTTAAAACTGTTTTCAGATTCCGTGATCCAAATAGTAGAAATTCTAAAAACAACCTTTTTAGGTTTTTAGTGCTTTCATATTCATAATTTGAAAATTTTAAGATGCGATCAAAACTTTGATAAATATATGACAAACTCATTTTATGTTTGTTAAAATCAAAACATGTAGAATATAACGTATTCTAAATTATATAACCTTGTAAAATAATAATTATTCAAAATTAATAAAAAATGTTAATAAATTAATTAATATAACTTTAGATTAAACTAAATATTTAGTTTGTAACTATACAAATATATTACTACACACACCTTGAATAATTTTTTAAATTGAGATTCAATTACCAAAATCTACTACCAAACACATAAAAACAAAGAATACAACTCTGGTTTTCATTGAATCTTTGGTTTACCAACCAAACTCACCCTAAAGCATCATTAGCAATGAAATGAACCCTCACCAGATGACCCATTTGTAAGTTCTGCAATGCTTTTAACATCTGAGCTCTGCTTGTCTTCATTGGTTCCAGCACCTTTTGTTGCCCAGTTGCAACGAATCTGTCTATTTCCAAGCCACTTACCTGAAGAAGAAGATCATGTGTGATCAGAAATAGGGCCCAAATATGGTCAAAAGACCTTTTCAATTTCACAATTTAAAGATGACACTTTTTGTTTTTTTATATCCGTGAGTGTCCACACACCTTGACTATTCTCACGGGTCAAAAAAAAGAGACACTTCTTAATTTCAATGTTGTTATAGATATTTGAAAACAATATATAACACAATTAAATGAAGAGACCTTCGAGCTTCTTTTCCCTTTTGACCGTTATCTAATTAGTCTACCAAAATACAAGCATCAAGATACTACTAAGTCAATAATTTAAAAATGGTCAGGGACAAATAAGTCCTTACCGGTCAGGTCATTGATTGCACTTTGAGCATCCTGGAAAAGGAGCATAATTTTGTAAATAAGAGAGAAATATCAAGTAAATAGATTCTGAATAGAAGCACTTCCAAACCTGTTGAGTGCGAAAAGAGACAAACCCAAATCCCCGGGAACGCCCAGTCTTCTGATCCCACATAACTCTAGCATCACTGAAATCAGTAACACAAACTATTGGATGATGCAGATTAAGATTTGTAATAAGTATAAATCAAATTATGCTTTAAAGCAGTTAAATATAGCAAACTTGTTTATTTCACAAGTAAAAATTAAATGCATAATTCACAACTAACAAACAAATAAAAAATAGTTTCTAGGAGCTGACGCTTACGAACAGCTTTGGTAAACAGAGAAGCATGCAAACAATGTAGCATCAGTAACTTCAGGACTCAGATCACCCACAAAAATGTTAAAATGACCTGCGCACAAAAAATGCAGGGAATTAGAAGGCATTGATTAAACAGTTTCAACTCAGCCATTGATCCAAAACAAATCCAAACCTGATGTATCCTCCCTCTGACCACTAGCATAAGCCCAATTTACTTTGATAGGCTGCCCAAACCTGCAAAGCACATATTAAGACAAAAGACAGAAGTTCAAAAGTGGCAAATGAGACATTATGTTTTATACTTACAAATGCCTCCCATTAAGTGAGAAAATAGCCATAGCAGCCGATCTGCGATCAAAATAGTGAATAAATCCATAGGATGACTGCATAAAGCAGTGGCAACAAGGATGTTAATAGACATGAAGGAAACAGTAGACCTTGAAACTATCAGTAATTTAAACAATTAGACACTCAGTTATACGGGAAAAAAAAAAGGAAGAGCTATAACAAAGGTTTTCTAGACTTCTAAAGACCAACCTTCTCCTTTCTGACAAGCTTGCAGCTTTCAACAGGGCCTGTACTCCCAAAAACCTCTTGAAGAAGTGGTTCTGTTACCTGTGAATGTATATTCCCCACATACCTGCATTTCCTCAAAATTAAAGAAACTAAAAGTTTTAAAAAGGAAGAGAAAACAAAGAAAAATACAAAAGATACATAAGTAACCAACCTCAGTTATCAAAATAGTATATGTATGTATAAAAATACAAAAACATCTAAAATCTTAGTTTAGGAGACATAATTCTAAAGCATAAACTCAGAAAATTGAGTAATTGTGGTGAAGTACCAAAATCTTAAGATTAATACACTGAAATTATGATAACTTGAACATTATCTGTCATATAGAGACATGAGAACTGCACAAGAACATAAGCTTGCACAATGCAAATAATAAAAAAGAAGAAAAAAAGTTAAGAAGATTAAATATCTAGAAAAACACTCACACGCTACGACAAGTACTTGGATCAAAACCAGGCGGCAAATTTCCACTTGGAACAGGTTCAAGCTGCAGAATGGAAACATAAAAATACATAAAAAGGACAATAAGTAGAATAGTAGATTGATTAGTTGAATAGAAAATGCATCTTTATGAAATGTTGATATATAAAATGGATGCAGTCATACAGGTCAAATGAAATCTTAAAACCAGATGAAGAGGTGAACCTTAATGATATTTCAATCAGTACATCAGAGAGATAGAGACCACAGTAGAAAAGAAAAAAATGAGACGCAAAGATCAGCAACCAATCACTCGATATTTCTTAAGCCACATGAAAATGTAAGCTGGTAAAGACACTGCTGGGATGGTAGAAGTCAACTGCCCTCAACTAGGTTGATGTGTGAGGTATAAAAAATAACAAAGTCTACCTGAACCCCAGAGCAGATTCAGAAATAGAAACTTAAAACTGAAAAAAAAAAATCGTGCACCAACAGCATACCCGCCGAAGGGATAATTAAAGACTCAAAGGTGAACCACTGCATGGAACATCATACCATCATTAATGGCCCTTAAGCATCTAAGGAGTCATTTGGTAACGTAAATGTTTATTGTTTCGGCAAGAAGAAACCATAAACAATTACTAAAAGAAAGGAAACAAGAAACAATAAATTTTGCCCTAGATTTCCAGATACCCAAAACTAACAAGAAAGCCCAATATGAATATCCATCGCAAACATGAAACTATGTTTCTACAATTACCCAGAACTTATCAGCATCCAATTAACAAAACACCGCCGCGAAATAATGCACCAAATCGGTCATAACTTTACAAGCACATCTCAGGGATCGACAACCAAACCCCATAACCACAAAGACGATAAAGAACGAAACAGAACGTGTAGATCATAAGAATGTGAACAAAATACAAAACAAAACAAAACAAAGAAGAAGAACTCGAACCTGAGGGGGAGCTAATAGACCAGGGTGGTAAAGAGACTGTTGCTGAAGCAAAGCTTGCTGCATCAAAGCTTGTTGCTGTTGCTGCTTCAATCTCTGATGTTGCATTCTCTTTTTCCTCGATTAATTTTCCGTCAAAGAGAACGAAAAATTTTACCGGGAAGATGAGGGGTTAGGGTTAAGAGTCGAACAAAGGCGAGAAAAATTAGAGAGGGAGAAGGCCTTTCGGGGTTGGGGGGAAATCAATTAGTGGTTCTAACTTAGAACCAACTTATAAAATGCCGTTTCGGGCCCGGGCGAAGATAGGGTTACCAACCCGTTACGCACCGGTACGAGACAGCCAATCCAAGCTTGACGAATACACCCTATCATCAAATCGGTTGGCCCGTTTCCCAGCTCACCTCACGAAAGTCTGTGACAGTTCCTTTTCCGATTTAAACCTGTATTTACATTACGACAAATATCGAAATATTTATAAAACTAGTCTAAATTCTACCGTCCCACATTATCTTTATTTTTTTAATTTTAAATTAAAATGGTTCATTTTTTTATTCATTTTAATAACAAATTTGAAAGAAAACGTAAAATTTAGTAGTTGAAAAATGCTATATTTATAAAAATTTTAAAAGAACAATAAATCTGTAAAATTTTTGTGTAGGTGAGTTATTTAAGACCATCTTTGTTTCGTTTAATTTCAGTGGCTAATTGAGAAAAATCGCTACAATTTATATGGTATTTTGGGTGAATATTCCCACCCAAAAAATAAAAAGTAAAAATTTCCAAATCAATCAATATTTTTATTAATGGTTGGGTTTTAGTCGATTTCATTATTTATTTATTTATATATAATAGATAGAATTTCATTAAATCTATATCTGTATCTATAATATATTAAAAATATGGATGTGGAAGAAACTTTTTTGGACGAAATTATCCTTCATATTTTATCAAATACTATATATGTCCTTATTGGGTGTGGGTTGCCGGCAACTAAAATTAATTACTTTTGTTTTGATTTTTTTTTACTTGTGTTCAATGTTAGATGCTATTAAGATTAATCAAACCTATTTAATTTATTTATCTTTTGAAATTTTATGAAAATTCATTTGATTTTTGTATTTAAAATATATTAGAATATGAAAAGTTTTCATATTTAATAATGTTTAATTATTGAATATTGAAAATCTCTAGAATCTAAAAAATTTTACAACCTCCCGTTTCTTTTACAACTATAGAAGATCTCTCTTCCATCTATTTCCAACTTAATTTGAGGTTTTTTTTTTCTTTCTTCTTCTACTTTTTTTTGCTTGTTATTATTTTTACGTGTCGTATCACGATTTCGTTTCTCTATGACGATTTCTTAATTAGTGCAGTAGATAACATCCATATTTTTTAGAGCAGAGTTGTTTAGCAATCAAATATTTATATATACAAATTATTTAGTAGTGAATATCATTCATCATATTTATATATTAAAATTTTTGTTTATTGAAGATTTTAGTATAGAATATCAATAATCCAAATTTTAAAAAAAATGAAATTAGTTTTTTTTTTTTAACCAGATAAACTTATCAATGTTCATCCTTCAAAATATTTACTTCTAAAATTTATAATTTATAATTTATCACTTATAGCAATTAAATAAATTTTAAAATAAAACTTTGAAACTAATAATTTAAGTACATTCATGAAATTAACATTGAAAATAATGTGAAAATTTTGAATATAAATTTTATAATTTATTCTTAAAATTAATTTTAAAATCTAGAATTTTATCTTTAATTATAATTAATAATTGAACCTAATGTTTAAAGAAGTAAAAATGTAAAAATATATTGAAATTAATAATGAGATGAATTATAAATTTGCCATTATCAAATAAATCTATCTATATTATTTATCAGAGAATATTTACTTTTAAAATTTATTTGATTTTTCACTTTTAATAAAGTCACAATTTTTTTAAATTTACAACTTTATCTCTAATTATAGTTATTAATAGATTTTGAAACATTACAATATTTTAATAGTTAAATAATGTTTATAAAAGTAAAAATATAAAAACTATATTGAAAGTAATAATGGGATGAATCGTAAAATTGTTATCACAAAATAAAGATATCAATGTTCTTCATTCAAAACATTGACTTATACCATTTATGGTTTTTCATTATATTTTTACTTTTATTAATAATTCAACAAATTTTAAATCAAAGTCCAAATACACTATGAAACCAAATTAAATGAATGTTAAAAGTCTAAGTATAAAATTTTTGTCAATTTATTTCTAAAATTTATGATTTTATCCTTCATCATAGATTATAATATATATTTAAAAAAAATAGATCATAACATTATTGAACTATTGAAATACTGTAATTTTTTAAAAATATATTAAAACTGATTATTTCATAAAAGTGAAATGATAAAATGGGAAGACTATGAATATAAAATTTTTGCCAATTTATTACTAAAATAAATTATTTGTCTTTAATTATAATATATATAGAAAAATGTTGTCTATTTTTAAAATCCTTTACAGCAAAATTATATTTAAAAATAATTTAAAAATTTATCCCTTATCTTTAATTATAATTATTAAGAATGAAATTTTAAAAATTTTATAATTTTAATAGTTTTGTAACTTCATCTTTTATGACTATATCAAGAGCTCTCCATTCTCTTTCTAAACAAGAGAATATAAAAAAAAAAAAGTTCTCTCATCTATTTTTCTACCCACAAAATTTTTGCATAACCTCCTAATTTTGTTTTTTTCTTTTATCTTTTCATTCCCTTCAAAGAGCACAAGAGAATAAATTTTTTAGTACAAGAGAATAAATATATATAGTTTTTAATTGTAAAGTAATGTTGTCTAGCAATTATATAATATTGTATTTTAATAAATAATTATTAGTTTGATCTTAAACAATAACGAGAGACAAATCTGCTTCGAAAAAAAATAGTCTCGAATATAAATAATATTCACTTAAATTAAATAAATTAAGTTGCAATTAAGTTAGAAAAGCACGTATTAATATAGTCGCCAAAAATTCAACAAAATCTCATTGATGGTCTTTGCTCCTCTTTATTCGATTTTATCTTTTATTATTATTATTATTTTTTTTTTCATACAAAGGTGAATATCTCAAATATCCACATCTCACAGTGCCATGCAGATTAAATGTCGATGTGAAAAATGTGCCCTCGTGTCATATGATGATTCGTATTTTGTATATTGAAAAAATTGTAGCATAAATTGTTTTAAAAAAATGTACGATTTAATAAAAATGGTAAATAAATACTGATAGTGTCCATTGAATTAGATTTCTAATTCACCCCAGTACAACAAATACTAATCCCCAATTTTGTTCGGAAAAACGATAATAGGATTTTAAACATAATGTTGAACGTGCAATTAATCTATAAGTCAATAAAATACAATACTCTCTCCTAAGTCAACAAGCAAACACCTTGTAAAGTAATTATAAGCATCCAAATCTTAGAAGTGCTCGAGTTATGCATTCGAGTTTCAATCAAAACAATCTCTCCAAAGCGTAAGATTCATATTTAGCATTAATTAGTGATTAAAAGATAAAAGGCATTACGCAAATAAATGCACATATAGATTAAGAACAAATCAATCCAAGCAATAATCAATTAACAAACTCATAATCCAGCGGCTACATCAATCCCTATATAAGAAATTTAGCTACTCATGTTCGTGAAAACACAGTAAGATTCCAATGAGAAGTTTATCATCAAACTAGACAAGCTAAGGGAAATGATAAAAATTAAATTTGTTGTGTCAATTACCCGTCCATAACCCAATCTCCACAATCTTGAGCCTTGAAAAACGGTATCCTTGCCCTCCAAGCTTGAATTCTCGAACCGATCCTCTCAAATTCCGAAATCTCCCATTGAAAATTGTCCAAAAATTCTTGTGATGGCGGCTAACTCATTTATACTATTGGAGCAGTGTTGAGACGTAGCACCATAAATAAGCCAGGAGTTCCAAACAGAGCGTTTAGATGCTCCAGTTTGGCTTGCGCATAGAACCTCCGTGTTCGGAGCGTTGAAACGCTACCCACTCGGGTCTCGTGGCTTGACTGCTTCCTTATGGCGTTGAGACGCAGCGTCTCAATTGTGCTATCGGGATTTTGGTTCCAACTAGCGCTGAAATGTCTTCTTTTCTTTCCTGGACTATGATTTTCTCTTACTTTGATCCAACTGCGTTTTACTCTCTCTCAATTATTCAATCATGCAAGATACAATTTATGTGCATACATGGGGCAGTGTAAAAAATGTACTAGTCTTTGTCAGTAAGATAGTACTCAACATTGGACTATGTTCGTTTTGGCCATCAAATATTCAAATTCATAGTATGTGTACACATATCTCAATAGTAATTGACATATATCTCCAACCAAATTCGCTTTGACAAATGGTATTCAAAGTTACGTTGGCAAGTCATATATTTAATATATACAAATAGTCTTTAAAAACATTTCTTAACATGTATAGATTCTAAAAGTTACTTTTATTTGTTCACACGTACTTTTGAAGACATTCAAGCCACGTGGGCCACTCATTAATGACTAACGAGGACGAACAAAATACAAGTAGCCAAAATGTTCATCCAAATCCACCACACATGCACCATGCTCACTTATTTCTATCATATCCACCCAAAAAAGCAAATAATAATTGTAAATTTAAAATTGCAAGATTGCTCTCTAGACTTTTAAATTTGTAAAGTTCCTAAATTTTAAAGTTTAAATCCAAATGTATTAGACATCTTTTTAATTCATCGACAAATTAGACATTAAATTGATTGAAAGGTAAATATATATATATATATATATATATATATATATATATTTTGTGTTAATTGGCCAATGAATTGAAAAAAATATGTTTAATGACCTATTAAACGCTCTTAAAATCCAATGATCTAAGGGAAAAAAAAAACAAATTTAAAAAAATTAAAAAACTTATTAGACACTTAAGTCGGTCCATAAACATGTAACCTGTTTAGAGACTAATCTAACAAATTTTTTATCTATTTTCCTCTTATATATACTTTAATTTCCTTTATTCTTGTTGAATGAAAAAGGATGATGTATTCACCATACTAACCCCACCCTAAAGAAAGGAAATATGAGAAGAATCATGGATGACTAAGTTTTAAGGTGTGATGTAAAGAACAAAGTTGGTAGATTATTGTTAACATTTAATCTTTTCAAAACAGTTTTCTTTGTTATCATATTCCATGTTTTCTGTTTCCATACTGTAAAAATAAAAAATAAAAAAAATAAAAATAAAATAATAATAATAATAATAATAATAATAAAATTCACACATGTGACTTATTTTGATACGAAAAGCATTTAGAAAACATAATAAGACTCAAAGGTACAATCCCCTAAATTCTTCCACTAAGGGAGTATAATTCACATTAACAATCATCCACGAAAGTAAAGAATAATATGCAAATTATAGAATAAAGCAAGATATTAACAATAATTTCAATAATATATTCGATTCGTTGTCTCATGTCTACCTACTTAAACAATAATACATCGAATATTTTTTAAATATCACAAGACTAAGACTAAATATAAAGATAGAGTAGAAAGGGACTACTCTTTCACATTGCATTTAGAACTTCTTTAGGGAAAATGATACATTGGAATATTGTTTGTTAGAGAGGCATTTAACTGAGTGTAATATATAATATGATATAATATAGCAACCAAATTTGGAGAGCAAACAATTGAACTAGAACTATGCATCAAAATAAAAGCAAGTCATAAGTTGAGATCCAGATGCCTTGGGAAATTTTCTTCAGCTTCGGCTTCAGGCTCAGGCCCTGGCTCATTACCCGAGCTGCTTCCACTTGCTTTGAAAGAACCCTCTGGCTGGTGGTTCACTTGGTATGGTGCTCTTACTACAGCCCTGATCATTAGAGAAACACTGTTCAATCTCATGAAAAACGTAAAAACGAGTAAAATACACCCTCGAAATTTCAATTCGAACAGTTGAACCGTCAAGCTTATGAAACTGTTGTAACTAAATCCGACCGCTATGACCCTTTTACTCAAAGAATGCAAAAACTACAGTGCTACAAGAGGTATCACAGTTAAACTTATATAGTTTGTTGTGTTGCTGCTAAGATTAGTAAGTTATAATCTTGGGATTTGGAGAGAAAATTGGTCAACTTAAAATTTTAAAGGAGCAATGGTAAAATCACTACAGTTCAAGGGTATTTAGCAGTTTTCTAAAAAATAAACCAGAAAAGAGAAGGAAAGTTTGGGGATTCTTTTCCACAAATGGAATGATCTTTTTGACTATTTGACAGCACCGCAGTTTCAACTTTCAAGTGTGTTCGTGAATATTTTTTTTCAATACCTTAAAAAGTACTTTGCAAAATTTAAGAACTGTTTTCTCACCAAAAATTGTAGTTATCAACAAAACACTATTCCTGAAAGCATTACCAAACATACTATTTATCGGGACTAATTTTCAACATCTAAACAGTGATTCATCTTTCTGTATGGACAGATATCTACAAATTCATCCTTCAGTGACTTTTTTTCTATATTTTTGTACGGAGGAGCATGTTTATATGGCTAAAATACTGTCACGTGGACTGGATCTGCCGTTTGTTTTCTTTTTCTAAGTCATCTGTGTTGGGTAAGATTTTCTGTCTTTCTTCCTTTCACACTTTGCAACTTGCAAGACTTTGGGCCAAATGCCTTAGATAATTTTAATGTGTTTTCTTTCAAATAAGTACATATAAGATTAGAATGGGATGATTTGGAAGGTGTAGAAAAAATAGAATAGTTCTACAAAAACACAGTTTTCAATGATTTAATTAAAAAATCATATCTAGATGATACCCTTTGTAAATATAGCATGTCTGATTCACACGATTCAACAATTTTCAGTTAAATACGATTACAGACTTAACAAGTCATATTCAAAGAAACATAATTGCAAGCTTAATAAATTTTTATTCAGCTTTTGTGGTTACTTTAAAAAATCAACACTGTTTATGCACAGAGCTCAAAAAGCATCCCCACCCACTTCAGTAGAAGAGTTATAGATTCAAATCCTCAGTGATATAATATATATAAAGAGAGAAAAAACAGTATTTCTGAAAGGAAAATAAAAACCCAACAATTTGGGGAAGAAAAGTTGTTGAGAAAAGAAGGGGAAAGAAGAATACCTGTCTTTTCTCTTCTCAAGGAATCGGTGAAGCGAAGCCCTCCTGGCAATAGGCAAATCTGTTCCATGAAAAAAACAGGGCATGAGACCAAATTAAGAACACCCCACGAAGATAATTAAGCCAGAACCATCTTCAAAATATTCTATGTTCACTGCAGTTCATTACCAGAAGAATTTTTGGCTTCCGGTTGCGGTCTCGGTTGCTGCTCCGGCGCAGGCTTCGCCGGTCCTGCGGCTTGAACTTTGGACTCCACATTTAGCTCCCCGGCGAGAGAGTTGCTGTTAGTTTTCTCCAAAGAAGAACCAAATATGTTGGCGGCGGCAGGGGCGACGGTGGCGGCGGGAGCGGCCGCGGTGGTGGTACTGCGGTTTCCCTTGTCGGCCAACGCCATGATTTCCTTGGCCCTTTCGTTTGGAAAATCATCGTACACCAACACTTTTCCGGCGTAGAATATGGTCATTTGGGCGGTGGCCGGCTCCGGTGTGGACGGCCTCCTAAAATTAAATAATCAGAAAACTCAACTTTCGAGGGATGTAGAACGGAACAAATATAACCTATAATTTCTCCTCTCCATTTTTTGGACTATTCTCAAGGACAGCAACAGTAAGTAAATTCAAAATTATACTCGGAATGGGAAATTAGCCATAGAAATTGGGCCGAGAAGGAAGTATGGGGTAATTACCCTAACTTGTCTTAGACTCAAGAAAAAAAAAAGTTAGAATACAAAATTTTTCCCAGTTCATATGAAGATTTCTGTACCTGAACTCGCCCTTGGTGGTGGCGTTGTTGGAGAGGCCCGGCGGAGGAAATCCGACGAACTTCGGCAGATTATCCTTCTGCTGCCGCGTAGTGTCGGAAGAATTCGCCGTATTCGTCGCTGACGGCAGGGGAGGCGGCGTCGGCTTGGTCCTTTCCTGCTCATCTAGATCGTATCCCAAAAAATTGAGGGAAAAATCTCGAGTAAGTTCAAGGAGAGTGGAATTCCATTATCTCGGCCAAGATCTAAAAAGTTCGTTTGAGAAAACAGAAAGCGGAGTTTTCAAAATTAAAAAACAGAACCAATTAATTTCTTCCAGCCAAGCAATGAACCAAATCAAATACCTCTAGGCTTCTTTCTCGGAGCTTTATCGGAGCTCAAATCGGCTAGACCCCGTTTCTCCTTCAAGAACTGGCTCAGAAGGCTACAGGTCTGAGCGAAATTCGACTTCTCCAGCAGCTTCGCCAGCTGCTGCCGGTCGGAGAATCTCCCACCTCCGCCGGCGTCCGATGGATTCGACATGAGGAGAAAGAAGAAAAACTAGAACAAGATGAATGAATCAAAAACCTAAAAATCAGGGTGGTTGCTGAATCTAATCCAGAGTTAAAAAAAGGGCATGAGGCTTCGCCAGCGACAGAGAACCGCCGTGCGCCGGGAGGCAAAGCGGCGGCGATAGAAAAGATTGGGAATATGACAGGTCAAGCTTCCGCCATGGTTCCGCCTGATAAGCGATAGAGGAAGAAATTGGTATCTCTCTCTCTCTTCTGGCTTTGAAAATTATTACTTAGCAATAAAAAAATGAGGAGTTGAAGCACGTTTTTTTGGAGGACTCAAAGGAATAAAATAAAATTCGCCTATTTTTTTTTTCCTTTTCCTTTTTATTTTGTAATTTATTATTTTCGGGTGCCAATTGCGAAACCTAAAGATGGCAATTTTGCCAGAATAAAAGTCCAAGGACAAAGAATTGTGAGCAACACCATTTACTTTTTAAAATTAATTATCTTTTATTATGGTGGGCCTCATTCCACCTTCCATCTTACAATTTTGCTAACCCACATGGCCTCAAACCCCATCTCCGTGATTGAGGTACGGATTTGACATCTCATATTTGAAAGGTTCAATACGAAGAAATATGTTAGAAAATTTAAAATGCAGGTTTAAGGAACGGTATCGAAAAATTTGTGTAGAATAATAAGTTTGGAATAGGTTGAGACTCACGACACATGGATTCGATTTCATACGTTGGTACCGACCGTATCCAACTCTCACCCATGTGTGAAATAAAATTAAAGAAGAAAAAAAAAAAACAAATGCGGATGTGTTGATGGGAAATTTTCAAAATTATGATTTTATTGAATTGGGTCCATGTTATCCTTATCCTACAAATTTAAAATAAAATATTTTTTGGAGTTATATTTTTTCTTATGACATATATTATTGATGAATTAGAGCACGTGCGAGGCAGGGTGGACGCGGAATCCAATATTTTATTGAGTCGTGCATTTGGTTGGAAATTATTTATTATTATTTTAAGTACAGCGTTTTGATGGTTAAGTACGCGTCTTCATTAATAAGTTTTTATATTTATTTTTTTAATTTTAATTAAGTCCCTATATACATGTGACTTAATTAAATAAATTTTAGTTGGAGTAGCGGAATTTGATCGCTGCTTAATTTGATTATCAATAGTTATATATATGGTCGTAATTCTGATTTTAATATACACTATGTTCTAATAGTCCTCCCATATCTAATTCAATTATTATTGTTTATGGTCAGTTACTTTTAATATTTCGAATTCGACACATTTTATTTATATATTAGGAATGGCAAAGGGCGTGTCGAAGATAGGGGGTCATCCCATCCCTAATCCGTTGGACAATTTTTCCCATTCTTGCCTCCGTCTTTGAAATTCGAGGTGGGATAGGGTGGGGATTTCCCGATCGAGCGGGAACCGTTTTCGAGATATATATATATATATATTAAAGAAAGGTTTATAAAAAAATTGGCCAGTACAATAAGAAATTGGGCTTCAACTTTGTTCTTAAAAAAATTAGAAAAATATATATAATAATTAATATATATTTATATTATTATATATAATAATATTCAACGGCTGGAGACGGGGATATCTCTACCATCCCCGTCGGAGAACCTAAATAGGATCCTCGATTTGATCCCATCTCCAGTCAAACCAGATACATTGAAATCAGGTACTGCATGTTTTTTTTCTTTTCATCCCTGTATATGTTAACATAACTGAAGGTACAGAGGTCATAGTTTTAACATGGGATGTCATAAATTTAACTAATTCATCAACTTAAGAAAAAATCATTTATATGTAGGCTTGAAAAGTGTGCATTAAAATTAAGGTTGAAACTCTATTTTGGTGTTCAATCTTTTTAAAGTTTATTTAATAATATTTTCGTTTCTTATTTCTAATTTATTAAGACTTTAGTATATGTCTATCGGTTCTCATTTTTAGAAAATGGTGTTCAATCTTTTAAAAGTTTATTTGATAATATTTTCATTTCTTATTTCTAATTTCTTAAGACTTTAGTATATGTTTATATCTATCGGTTCTCATTTTTAGAAAATGTTTTCAACATTGTGCATAAGTTTTATAAACAACAAAATAAAGTTTATTTTTCTTATTAATTCTTATAGTTTTTTTCCAAAGTATTGATAAAAATGTTATTTTATCGTTTTTACTTATAAAATTCATAACAAACAGCAACATAACAAACTAAAGTTTATTTTTCTTATCAATTCTTATAGTTTTTTTTTCCAAAATATTGATAAACATATGATTTTATCATTTTTACTTATAAAATTCATAACAAATATCAACAAATAAATATAACATGCAAGAATAAAATTATTTGAAAATTAAGAAAGGATAACAAAACATGTCTACATTTATTTGTTCAATAAGACAGTTACCAAATACAAATTATGTTTATATTCATTGGAAAAGAGAAAATGAAAAAATAAAAAATAGAAATATTATAAAATGGTCCGTTTTTTGACAACAAACACAACCGCTCGTTGAAAATTTATAAACAATCCTTCATGTTTTTACTTATTTTTTAGAAATCTTTATAAAACCACGTAAAAATCTAGAAACAACCCATATAGTTTCTCGTTGTTCTCTTTTTTTATTCTTTTCCATCATCTTTTTTCCATGACTCGAATAATAAATCAAAACAAAATATTGTCTCATTTTATGTCATGTCATTTTCGTCAGAAAAATGAGTAAAAATCTAGAAATATGTGTTAAGTTATTTATTTTTACCTGATGTATTTATTTATGAAAAAAATTTAAAGTAATTAATGCTTTTCAATTTTTTGGCAAACTGGATTAATAGAGGATGAGAATTATTAAAATGTCAATTTTATTAAATAAATATGAAAAATACGACAAATTTAGTGAGGTAAATCTAAAACAGCCAAATTAATATTAAAAATTTTAACTAATTAATTAAATTTTTTAACTTTAAATAAAACTATTAAAAACAACTTTTAAAATCGAAATTCAAATTATTTATTCATTTAATATATATATTTTTTATTTTCAAATTTTGGAGTCAAAATCAGTGAGAGAGAGGAAAAGGAAGATTGCCGACAGAGGGTTGGTCAAGTGGAGGAAGGTGGGCCGCGCAGAGGAGTGACTGAAAGCGAAGCAAAGCGGCTCGAACACGTTTATTAATAGAATAAATAAATAAAATAAAAAATATCTGAGAAGGAAAAAATAGGGGATTTGAATGGACAGAATTGTCCTCGGTATACTTAGAAAATTACCTTTTTGGTAATGGCAGCACGTGTTTGGCAAGTTGGGTGGGAGTCGGATCGGACGGAGCTTGAATTTGAATTGAAAGCACCAACCTTATGAACCCATTAATTAATTCACAACAATAAATAAATTTCTTCAGAAAAATAAAAATAATTATTAAATAAATTAAACTATTGAATTCCTACGCTTCCTCAACCATCCAGATGATTCACGTGCCGCTTCTCTCTCTCTTTCACCCACATTTCATTTTCATTTTTTGATAGCTCAACTTTAATTTTTTGGTCGGTGTGGTAATTTTTTTTTATTTCAATTTTGGGTTAAAATACTTATTCGGTTGTCCTACTTTCAGTTTTGGTTTATTTTTATTCCCAAATATTTTCAATTTTAGTTCATTTTAACGTCTGTATTCTTAAAATATTCGTTTTGATCTCTGTATTTTTAAAAAGGTTACAATTTTGGTCTCTTAATTTTATTTGTAATCTCAAATTTTTATATCACAACTGGAACACAACACTAAAATCAATATATTTCTTAAAATGTAAATATTATAAATTTGGATAAAATTCTAAAATGTAATTTTCAAAGTAACCCCTTTTTTAGTTTTAAATTTGTAATTGTAATGCTTCCTCGTTTATAATAAGTTGCGTATGAATATGGTAATATTTTTTGTTTCTTTTTTTATTTTATTGAAAGAACAATAGAATTAGAAACCCGTTGGATAGTCATTTGTTGTTTTTAATCTATAATTTTAAATAAAAAGTTTGTATATGAAAATAATTTTTAAATTAAATATTTAACAAATTTATGCTATATTTATAATGGATTTTATAAATCGCAGGATATTTATAATCTTTTTATTTATGTTTTGAAAAGGAAAAAAAAAACAGAAGTAAGAACAATAAATTCGATTGTGTCGTTTCTAAAATTTACGTAAAAATTTGAAAATATTTATTAAAAATAAAAAAGAGAAACATAATTGTTACCGATCGTCCTTTTTATAAATAAAAAGATCGAAAACGATAGACAATAAACAATAAGTGAGCTGTTAACTTTTCAATTTGGTGTCTCCAATAAAATTCTTTTTTGATAGGTTCTTAAACTTTTAATTAATACATATGTTTCGAAGTTGTATTATTTGCCAACACGAGCATAGTTCRACGATAATTGATATGTATCTTTAACCAATAAGTCATAGTTTGAATCCCTTATCCCGCTTAGTGTACTAAAAAAAAAGTCACATTATTCATTATTTGAATGGAAAATAATGGTTAAGTACTAAAATTATTGTTTTTTTTCCTTATTTATTAAAGTTATAGGACTAAATACAATTAAATAAAATTTTAAATGTAGAGACTAAAATATATATTTTAAAAGTTAAAAATAACAAAAAAAAAAGGGATTTAAACATTCTTCAATCATTTTGTTTATTAACATTTTGTGATATTTGGTTGGACATTTTAAAGAGTGTTTGTAATGTTTTTTCCCCTGTGTCTATCAACAACATTTAAATAGTTATTACTATTCTATATATTAATTAAGCCAACCCACCAAATTTATCGACCACCCAATATTTACTATTCTAAAGTGATAATAAATCATCTATTTCTGATTTCAAAAAAAAAAATAATAATTTTTTTATTACCCCAAATTATAACTAACAACCATTTCTAAGAGATAATTCAATAGTAAATTTAATTCACTATTGTCAAACATTGCCATCATGACTCATTTGATATCCCTCGTCTCCAATAAAAACTAATTTTATAATGCCAAATTTACCAATTTTATTGAAACTCAAATTTAATGAGATATTATTGGTTAATAGCAAAATTTGGTAGAAACCACGTAATGTAATGTAATATAATATATATTTCTTTTCCAATAACAATTAAAATTGTATATAATTAGAAAACTGAAACATATTACGTTTGACAATTAGGAAGAAGAAATGTAGAAACAGATACTTTATTAAGTTATCAAATATTTAATTGTGAGAATGACAAGTTTACTCCTTATTGTTGAGCAGTCAAACATATACAAGAGAATAACGATTTAAAAGTAAAGTAATTAAAGTTTCAAAATTTAATAAAAAAAGTTACTGGATTACTGATGTGGATTGAATTATAAATTTAAATACAAAAGAAGAAACAGCAGGGAAAAAAAAAAAAGAAAAGAAGAGAAAAGAAAAAGGCAACGTGAGAGAATGATAGGTTTTTGACGATGGCATATCGATTTTGAGGAATGGGCACCACACGATTTTCTGCAACATGAACCATATGCTATAATTACAAAATTATAGCACGCAGTGATTGAATTTTGATGTTTCAACAAATATTAAATAATTTACATTTTGGCAAATTAATCAACAAACTCATTGGAATTCCAGGACCATTCACAATAAATAACAGCCTATTATGTTTGATTCACTGGATTAGATATTTGGTTTGTATAATTATTTTAAAAATTGTTTTTGGATTACGTGATCCAAATAGTATAAATTTGGAAAATAATAATGTTTACAAATCTTCTCGAATTATAAGTTTGAAATTTTAAGATGCATAGTTAATGAAAACTTTGGCAAATATAAAATTCGTGCTATAGATTCGATTCATTTTTGTTAAAATAGGTAAAAACATAATATATTATAGATTATATAATATTGTAAAATAATTGTTATACCAAATTTATAACATATGTGTTAATAAATTAATTAATAATAATGTAGATTGAACTAAATATTTAATTGTTAATAACTAGCGCAAAACAGGTGTTCAAGTCACTAAAAAGTAAAATACAATTCTGATTTTCCACGAATCTCTTGTTTCAAACTAATTTCTACATGTTTAGGGGTGACGTTGCTAAAATTATTTTTTAAAAAGCTACTTATGTTTCACTGTCAAATATTATTTCATTAATCTAAATCATTTTTGTTATTATCAAAATTATAATATTTCGAGGAAAAAGTAATTTTGGCGTACATTCTCAAACACACACTTATTTTGTTTCCTTGCTAAAAAAAAAAAAGTCCTTCATTTATTTTTATTTTATTTTCATACTTCTATAAACATGATCATTTTAGTGCTTCATTTTCAACCCTATCATTATTTACTATTTTAAACCCTATCATTATTTACTATTTTACTATTTTAGTCTCAGGCCTATCATTTCTTTTATTATTTCATAATTTTTATTACTTTGATTTCAATAAAAAAAAAATGTGGAGAGCGCATTTTTTACTCATCAGTTTTTCTATTATTCTAAGCTTTTTCCATATCCAAATTCCTATTTTCTTATAGATATATCAACATTCTGTATTGATAAAGTAAGGAAAGTTAAAAAAATATCAGATATTAACTCGTGGAACAATATGCTATAAATAAAAAAGAAGTAAAAGAAATAGAAAGATAAAACTCAAGGACCCAAATGATTTTTTATAACCAAAATAGACCAAATATGAAAGTTTAAAGACCAAATCTGAGGGACTAAATAAAATTCAAACATAAAAACATCAGAATATAATTATCTCTCAAAAATCTGACTGAAGTTCTAGAAATTGAAAACAACAAAAAATTGCTCTTGCTAAATCTGAGAATTTTAAAGGTCAGAAGGAAAAGGCAGAAATAAGGTCTCATAAGAACATAAAATTTAAAAATACACCACTTTTTGAAAAAAGCCATCCTGTTAACTGACCAGAAACAGAGAGACTGAAAAAATTGAAAAACTGAACTCAATCCTCAACTGAAACCTTCTGTATAATGGGTTTCAATGTTCATAATAGCATATCAGAATAAACATTCTATAGAACCAGGAAGATTTCGCATCAAAACTCAAAATCACGCACAGTTACA